AGTTGAAATAATATTATCAATTAAAGTCGCTTAATTTATAGTTAAATATTGGTAGGGCGATTGATGAGGGAAATTGATCCTGTTTCAAAAAATGTATCATAAAAATTTTGTATTTTATAGTCATCGTTATAGAGAAAATAATTGATATCCCATGTTAGTCTCCAGGTTAGTCTCCAGTATTTTTTTTCGGCATTGCCTTTTTTACAGGGTTATTCATTCTTATATGCGCGTCTATTCATTTTTATATGCATTTCTATTCATTTTTATATGCGTATTTATTCATTCTTATATACGTGTTTATTCATTTTTATATGCGCGTTTATATGCGCATATAAACGTAGCTTAGTTGGGTAGTTGATTTGCATATGCAAATCAAACTACCCATTAAATCTCTAATATAATTTTATACAAACAATAGATAAACAATAGGTTCCTGTCACTGCTATTTATTTGAAAAATGGTTGCCAAGCCAGCGCTCAATTTATGTAACATATTGTTGTAAAGCGGAATTAAACTTTGTAGTATCCATTATATTTTTAAGTTTCCTGATTACCCCATCCGTATTTTGAGGCCTATTTCCCTTTTTGTAAGTAGGCCTTAAAGAAGAAAAAAAATATTCTATTGGATTAAGTTGTGGCGTGTATGCTGGTAGATACTTAATAGCTATGCTATGAGAGGCTAGTGTTTGAGAGAGAGGCTAGTGTTAGCCTAACAGAAAGAGAAATTTACAATTGTCCATAACAAGCATTAGTACTTTTACATCAGCATTTATAATTGCCAACATTGTAGTAATGAAAGTACAAAATGAATCTGCATTCCAGCCTCCAGATTTTATTTCATAAGCCAGCACTCCCAGTGTTGAAATAGCACAAATCAAACTAACATTCCTGTCACGATTTTGAGACGACTGTAAAATTGCTGGCGCACCTCTTAGCGAATAACCGTATGTGCTGTTGATGTGCACATTAAATCCAGTATTTTTTTTTTTTTTTTTTATTCATTGTTACAATCATTATTACAATTTTTATTATAGCTTGTGAATAAAACCTAAGACATAAAAAAGAAATAAATAATATTTACAATAAAGATTTCGTTAACAATAGAAATATGACAATAAATATAACAATAAAAATTAGGAATAAAGAACGCGGAAACTCGAAAAAGTTCTTGAGGTCTTGTCGTAGAAAACCGCTGGAATCAAAACGCTTCATTTTTATTGATTTTTTGTAAATGTTTATTTGCTTTTGAACTGGATCTGTTTCGATAAATAATTATATAAACCGTTGCATAGAATAGTTAAAAATAATATACTTCAGTATATTTATTGATGTGCTTGATGACGTCATAGTATGTTGGTGATGTTAATATAAGTCGAATAGATTAAAAAAAATATGCTTGCAAATGCATAGTGTGCATCAATAACTTGTGTTGAATTTCGTTCTTCTAGTACATGCACAACACATTTTCTTGATAAATCCGAGCGTTTGAGTTTTTCTTAGAATAGTAGGCTGAGACATGTTGAAGCCTGCTACAGATAGATTTTCTTTTATTGCTTTTTGCGTAAAAAAGATTGTTTTTTTATTTTTGTAAAAAAAATTATTGTTCAAATTTAATTAGAATATTTAAAAACGACTCAAAAAATACATAAAGAACGTTGAAAGAAATAACAAAAAAAAAAAAAAAATTCAAACTCCCTTCCTTAAGTAATTAAAATAAATAAAACACATATATATGAACCAGAAAAAATTGCAAACGAGTTTAATAAATATTTCATTGATATAGGAAATAAATTGACAAATAAGATTTCTATTACGGAAAAAAATTTTAGTGATTTCCTAGAGCCTATGAATAATTCGCTTTTTCTAGATAATATATATTCCGACTTATTATTTGATGAGTTTGAGAGAGCTTACAAATCTCTCAAAAGAAACAAAGCTACGGGTGCGGACGAAATAAATAACAACATAGTCATAGATTGTTTTGAAAACTTAAAATGTATTCTATATAAAGTCTTCAGGGCATCTATACAGCAAGGTGTATTCCCCGACCAATTAAAAATAGCTAAAGTCCTATATACAAAAATGGAAATCAAATGTTAGTAATTATTGCTCTATTTCAGTTCTTTCAACTTTCTCAAAAATTTTAGAAAGAATTATATATAATAGAACGTACAATTACCTTAATCTAAATAAACTTCTATACAAAAATCAATTCGGTTTTAAAAAAAATTGTTCAATTGAACAAGCCATTACACAGTTCATTCGTGAAATCTACAATTCATTTGGTAGATCATAATATACACTAGGTATTTTCATTGACCCATCAAAAGCATTTGACACGGTCGATCACAAAATTCTACTTAAAAAAACTCTATTAAAAAACTTTAAAAGTTACTTGAAAAATAGAAAACAATTTGTTTTCTATGGAGATTATTTTCAAAATGAAAAATTAATTGACATAAAATGTGGTGTTCCAAAGGGTTCTATTCTAGGCCCACTTTTGTTTTTAGTCTATATAAATGATTTAATTAAAACTTCTAACCTTATGAGTATCATTTTTGTAGTGAATAAAGAACTCAATCTCCAACTGGTTTAAGTGCAACAAGTTAACTTTAAACATTGACAAAACAAAATGGATCCTTTTCCACTCTCTCGCAAAAAAGCGTTTTTTACCAAATAACTTATCTAAATCTTTTATTGATAAAATTGAAATAAAAAAGGAGTCGGTCACAAGATTTTTAGGCATTTACATTGATGAAAATATTACATGGAAGTATCATATCGACTTTATTTCTACTAAATTGGCCAAAAGTATTGGAATTCTGTATAAGGTCAGATATTACTATCTAAATAAACAAAATTTAATTCAACTCTACTACTCACTCATACTACTCACTTGGGGAAGTACCTCTAAAAGTAAGTTACGAAATCTCTACCATCGTCAGAAACACGCAATGCGTTTAATATGTTTTGAAAATTGTTTTTCTCATTCGAATATTTTATTTAAAAACGTTAAAGCACTTAACGTTTACGAACTCAATGTCTATAATATTTTATGTTTCGTTGTAAAAATGAACAACTATTGTTCATTTTTAAAAAATTTTTTACCCATAAAGCTATAAACAAATATACTTTACGAAATAATAGTTTATTAATTGAACCCTTTTTTCAAACAAAGTTTAATCAATTTTGCATAAACTATCGAGCACCGTATTTATGGAACAAAATTGTTGTTCCAAATTTTGATTTGTCAATTTTGTTTTTAAAACTAAATTAAAAAACTATATTCTTACTACTGGCAATATATATAAATATTTTGAAATGTAAAATTATATAGTTTATAAAATAGTTTGTAAAATTTTTTCAGTTTTTGTTTATTCTACATTGTTGATAGTTATTAAATCAATTGTATTTATATTTTATTATATATACACGTATGATATATTTTATATGGTTCTGGCGACAAGATTATTTGGATCTTCTTTCAGATACCAAGTTTATATATTGTTATATTACGATTAATAACTGTAAAAATTTAAAAAAAAAAAAAAACCCTAAACCTCTGTTTAACTTAACGACAAGATTTTGAACTGTGCGCTTAGATAAATTAAGAGAAGTGGAAATGTTTGTTGTAGATTTATTTCTTACTGTTGTAAAACATTTCCCTTTAACCATTAGCTTCATCCAATAAGTTTTATGCATTCGCAGTACATTTCATTTAAAAATTACCTGAAGATTTCGAAAATTTTTTTTAAGACACCTTATGCTGTCAGAGGAATTGATTTTTTCAAAATTCAACAGGACGTATCCAGTCGTATTCAACAGTGACGTATCCAGAAACACATGGTGGGGTTGGGGGGCTATGTCGATACAAAACTAAAAAAAAAATCTTTTAATTGACAAAAAAGCCTCTAAATTAAAAAAAAATTCTGGGAGTGATGAAGCGTGGGGGATGCATACCCCTCTAGATCCGTCACTGGATGCAAAACAAAATGAGAAAGAAAAAGTGAAAGAAAATAAATCGAAAAAAAATATATAAAATTTCTCTTAAAAGATTCCAAATCTTAGAAATCTGTGAACCTTGACTCTGAAGTTATTGAATTTAAAATAGATTAACTACATGTTTTTCTTTTTGTATTAAGTTTCCAATTGTTTAGTTTTCTTTTGAGCATTAAAGTAAGATATATTTTCAAAATATTAGATCGGAAAGTGATGTTTAGTGCTTACCAAAAAAGTTTTTTGCTTCCTTATTCTCCTGGAATTCGGTTTTCATTAAACTTAATGGGCTATTTTAACTTTTTATTTAAATTCTCTGAAAAGACTTTGCGAAGGAAAATTTTTGATCTTTTTTGTTTTGTTTGTGATAGTTTGCGTTACGTAATTTATAGACGATCCCTTTGCGGGAAATGTTCACAAAACTGCCTGAGATTTGCGGGAAATGTTCACGAAACTGCCTGAGACCTTACCTTATAAATTTTCCTAACTGAGACGAAAACTTGATTTTGATCTTTTATTATTCGGACTTTTTGTAATAACAAATTCTAATAAAAAGAATTATTGTCGAATTTTATTTCTGTTATCTAGATGATCATTCAAATAAAAATAAAAAATTACAACGGAAAAAAAAATGTTTTAGTCGATTACTAAAAATATATCACTAAATACAATATATAACTATCATGTTTTAATTCAACTTTAATTTAAAAATCGCCTCTTTTTATGAAACTTTGTACCAAATAAAAAAAATTATTTGGTACTATGTGCCAACTCGCCAACATTGTACCAAAAATTTTTAAAAATAAATATCCTAACTTTTAAATATATAATTAAATAATAAATATAATATATAAACTAAATCAATACAAAAATCGATTTCAAAAACAATAAACATATTTGAAAATGTTTTTCTAAAAAAAAAAAAAGAGTTTCAAGCAATTGTTGGAAACCTCTAATTTAAAAATATATTCAAATATTTACACCGTCTATAAAATCAACAACAAATGACTACATCTTGTAGAAATATTTACGCACCTATTAAAAAGTTCAAACTATTTTTTCCCCTGTACCAAAAAATAAAAACGACAGACCCCCTAGCAAAGATACAATCGATACAAGCTGAAAAACAAGAGCCCACTCATCCGTAGCATCTAAAATACGACCTGTAATATATACGCCAACCATTCCTACAAGTAATAAAAAAAAAACAAAAAACAGCAGTTTCAAAATAAAAAGATTTTAAATGAACTCTATTTAAAGATTATAGAAAAAACTATAAATTTGAACTTTATGAAAATCGCTAAAACTTTCGTTGTACAAAAAAAAAAAAGTAAAACTTTAAATTTTACATTAAATAAAACTTTTATAAAAAACACCAAATTAATGTTGTTTAAAATACTTTTAAGTTATAATGTAAAAAAGTAAAATACACAGTCATAAAATCAAAAAATTAAGTTAAATTCATTATATAAAAAAAGATAAAATTAAAAAGTAGCAAAATCTAATATTCACCTGAAATTGCACCAAGAGTGTTAGCCACCCCATAAATTAAACCAGCGTGATTTGGTGCAAGATCTTGTGGATTCATACCGATGCCACTGCTATTAGCACCCATGCCTCCAATAATTAATGTCATCAAGAACAAACCCATTTCAAAAGAAGTCACGTGATTAAGAATAAAACAAAAAACCACAGGAGGGAAAAAAGCGGCACTCTATATTTGAAAAAATATTATTAGAAGCTGTAATCTAAAAGAGCGAAAAGAAGAAGCTGTAACCTAAAAGAACGAAAAAATCTAATAACACTTTATTATGATAAGGAAGCAATTGAAATAAGAATAGACAAAATGCAATTTAAAGAAAAATCAGATAATATGTAAATAAAAATGTCTTAAAAGCAACTGATAAACATTGTGGAAAAAAATAGAAAAAATTTGAGTTGATAAAATTTTAAAAGAATTTTGTATAAGATGTTAAAAAAAAAATTAATCTGAATAAAATACGTCATTAAACCAATGTTATAAAAAATAACTTTTAAAGTAGATAAAATAGATTTAAACGGTAGATTTGGTCGAAGCTACCGTTTCTCAATTTTATTTTTAATGTGACTTCTTACCAAAAATCTATTCCTTAATTTCTTAGATTATCTATTAACTGGAACTTAAAAAAAGCAAAAAAAAAAAAATGTTTTTACACAAATTGTGTAAAAACGCGTTTGTAAAAATATTTAAAGTGAAGATAATGACTTAAGTGCTGATAACGCAATTTTATAAATATTTCATAAAAATATTATTTTTTTAATAAATATTTCATAAAAAGCTAAGGATGCTGAGATGAGAAAACATGTTTAGAAAATTTGAAACAAATATTAGAATACTGGAAACAACCTATTATCATTTTTATTTAAAAAGTTTATTTGTTTTATTTTTCTTCAGAATCGTACAAATAATAAATACGTTCTATGACAACCAAATTATTTAAAAAATTCAACTTTTTTATTATAAAGGTTTTATAAAAAAAAATAAAAAAATAAAAATGGTAGAAAAAAAAACTCCAGTAAATCACGCTTTGCATGAATCGTATATACTCTCTGAACCATGGAACGTAGACAAGTTGTATGCAAAGAATGTAGTAGATAACTTGAAATTTAAACAAGACATCAAATACATTGGTCATCAACGTCGACAAAATCTTATTAATATAGATAAAGAAATCGGTAAGCTAAAAAAATCGACGCAAAAATTAGAAGTATATAATAAACGTATTATATACACCAACCAAAAAAAAAGATCACACGATGAAACAATTGAAGAAAATATCGAGAAACAAATGAAAAAAGAAAATGAAAAAATGAAAAACATCCTTCCTGCTCTTCATACATGCGTGAAGTACGACGAAGAAAGTGAAAACAAGGAAAAAAAATGGAAAACTGAAAGATGGAAATATAATTACAAAATGGATAGAAACAACACAATTGAAAGGATAAAAACATCATCACCTGTTTGTATAAACAGAAAATATAATTCAAAGCTACTGGTACAACGACCAGTAATAGTGAAAAACTCCAGAAATGTCTCACTAGGTGAAACAAATTGTATTCATTCTTTAAATAGAATTTCTATAGAAAATGGAGCCTTAAGTTATATTGATTTAAATATGCATAACGTAGCAAAATGTAAAAACTACGAAGAATTTTATAAAAACCATGATTTTTCTGCAACTAATCCAATATATATTCCCAAAAACATGAGAACTAAGAGTAAGCACTAATACGAAATATACAACTTACCACAAGCAGCTTTCGTACCATCGTTCTAGTGTAGCCTAGTGGAAAATTAAATCAAATGTTATTAAAAATTTATTACATGTTAAAGAAAACAAAAAAGCACTTGAATATAACAATTAATAACAATTGAATCTTATCTCTGTAATTATTTTTTTATCTCTGTAATTACTTAATTAGTTTGAATCGTTTTTACCTTTTTTTAGCATTTCATCGCTCAATATACCGCAAATGTTCTCTATGAAAAAACTTGCAACCCAAGGTATTACATTAAATAACCAACCCTAAAAAAAGTATTAATCATACAATTAATGGCGATTATAGGCACTGGATGAACTATTTTAAAAACTTTTAATTATAATTTTTGTTTAATTTTTTATTTAATTAACTTGTTTGATTAATAAATGTTTTTAACTTTAACTTTCTTTCTTGTTCTGAACTTGTTTATAATCTGACGAATTAATTAAATGATCTAAATTTGAAAAAAATCAATCGAACGAAAGTACAAAATTCAAAAAGAAAAGTCATTATTAACATCAAAATATTCTTTTGTTAATCAATAAGTTTTTAAAAATAAACTTTATAAAAAATATTTGTGACGAAATATAATGAAAAGACAAAATCTCTAAGTTTGACAATCACACCGATTGCGAGGTTTACACACTCTACCCACCTAAGTGTGATAATTACATACACTACTTACCTAATTGCAACAACTACAACACTCTATCTAACTAAGTGTGACAATTACAATACATTGCACAAGGCAATTTTAATTTTAACTAAAAAGTATTAAAGTAAATTTAATTTTTTTTCAAAATATAAATTATTAAAATATCTTAATTTTTTGATATTAAATTTGGATATTTTTTTAAACTTAATTACAAGAAATAGTTAATTATTAATTAGTAAAACCTAATATAATAGTTTAATTAATTAACATTACTTTTTAAATTAATTGAAAATTTGTATTTTATTTCAAAAAACCAATGTAAATTAACTTGTCCTTACACAACATCAATAGTTTCCAAGTAAAGTAAGCTACAAGTAAAAGGACCTTAGAACGCAAACCTCTAAAATTAAGTACAAAACTTGCAGAATAATCTAAATTAATCTCAACTAATAAAAAAAGTTATCTTTTAAGGATAAATAAAGTAGAAAAAAGTATACTAGCCATCAACAAAAATTTTTTTCAAATTAACTACTTCTGGAGAATACTTTTGTAAGATAGTGAAAAAAATGTTGTCGAAAGTTCAAGCAAAATATATTTTTAGCAACTAAAGATTGGTTGATTTAGATTTCCAAAAATGAATTAAACCATTTTTCTGCAATGAAAGAAATAGTGTGGCCATTAGATTAAAGAAGGGGCCTTTTCGAAAGACCCTAGACCCTTTTCGAAAGCATTGGACATATTTGGGCAAGTTTGGGCGCCGGCCAAATTCAGAAGTTTTTCTTCTTATTGGTAAATATTATTTTTTTCACAGAAAAATGCTTTTATTTGGCAATATTTTTGTCAATGATCCTTATGGCATGCAACAGCATGGGAGTACTCCCGCTCAAATTATTTTCCACAAATAACCCCTGTCAAGAAATGGGTTCTGTCTAATTCTTGGGAGAGACAATAAAATTAGACCTATAAATTATTATTTAAATTAGATGTTAAAAATGAAAAGTTAAGAACAAGAGGAATACAAAACATTTTTGTAAATGACGTTGTTAAAAATTTCTAAAAATCTACTTTGCCTTTATAAATCTATTTTGACCTAATCTTTGAGATAAAGATGTCTTTGTTAATGACGTTGTTAAAAATTTCTTAAAATCTACTTTGCCTTTATAAATCTACTTTGATCTAATCTTTGAGATAAAGATGTTTGCCTATAAAGACGTAAAGATTAAAAAGTGAAGATTAAGAATAATAATAAAAATTAACAAATATTAAAATTCATTGTCAATTAAAAAAAAACAAAAAACTCAATACATTAAAATAGGGGCTAAGTTGGTGAACTTAATAACTGAAACTTAAAATAGTGAGTCAAAACATAGATGACGTGCATAAACTTAAGTATTTGGGAAAACGATTTATGGAAAATAAGGTTTAAAAGAACAAATTGACAAAAAGATATAGTGGGTGGTGGGTGAGTGAGTGTGCTTAATACATTATAGCAATAACCATATTTTGGTGAAAGCATACTGTAGACCTATCTTATGGGATTAAAGACCTAACTAAACAAATCTGATATCAAAATTCAGCAAAAAAATAAAACTACACTTGTAAAATAATCACTAAACAGATATAAACAACTGTGAAACAATTTACTTGCAACAAAAAATTTAAACTGTTAAAGGTCAACTTTTTTCTAAAACTACTCAATAACCAGTCAAAAAATAATAACTAAAGTCATATAGTGATATAATAGAAATTCACACAAGATTTCTCTTAAAGATATTTAAAATTGCATTGACAGAAGAGAGAGAGAAAGAGAGAGCAATCATAAATAACAATTTGGTCTTTGCAATTAAAGAGAAGATCACTTTGAGAAGAAAAGTACTCAAAAACCTTGCTTATGATAGTAAAAAGACTAATGGGATGGTAGTTAGACGATTCAGATTGATCTCCAGAATTTTTGAAAATAAGTTTACAGATGCTGCTTTCCAGCAGACTTGAAAACAAGACTCTGATAAGCACTTGTTAAATAGCGTTGAAAGTATAGGCAACAGCTCCGGAGAACACTTCTGCAAGACTATAACAGGTATGTTGTCCAGACCACAAGCTGTAAAAAAGTCTAAGCAGGAAATCACTTTAAATACAAAAAGTTGGAGTGATGCAAAGGTCAAGCAATGGATTAACTTGTTTGTTGGCTATATCAGGTAGAACGCGACTAGTGGAATCAAGAGATGATATTGATGAAAAGTTTTTAGCAAACATTTTTGCCTTGTCTTAAGGTGATGTGACAAAATCTGAACCATACAAGAGGTGGAATAACAGATTTTATTTAAACTGTTGAAGATTCTCCAGAAGTCACGGGAGCCTAATTTTTGAGATGAAATTCAAGATTTTATGACCTTAGAATAGCAGGCTTTGGCATTACACAAAACTTTTTTACAACGGTTTCTAGGAATAGTAAACAGATGTCTGTTTTCTGGAGAAATGCTTGCTGATAGATATGAAAGTAATGGTTAAAATTGAAAATTGCAGCAGCACAATGACAGAACAATTATGGAGAAGAGTGAGGTCTGACTATAATCATTGAGAGAGAATACAAAATTCTGTGCTAGCCTAAATCCAGGAAATTACGTAAGAAGCACATTTGTCAGCAGGAAGACAAAAGATTCCTACCCAAGAGCCATCACAAAAAAAATCACGGAAAGAGTCCCTATCAGCTTAAAGATAGTTGTAAGAGGTACAATAATAGGGGGATACTGATGATGAAGAAGAATGAGATAATAACGAGATCAGAAGCACCTAAGGGTGAATGTGGAGAAACCGAGCACTGACTAGGATCAGAAACAAGACATAAGTTGAGTAGAAAAGGTAATATATTTGGATTGTCTGGAAAACAAGTTGGAAAGTTGAATACTTGTGTTAGAGATTGAGATAAAAGTTGTGGGCCTTAATATTTGCAGAGCCAACGACACTAGAGCCGTTTCATTCAGTTTGATATGCAATAAAGTCACCAAAGACAACAATATTGGCTGAAGGATAGAGAGAAAGGGCTTGATCAATTTGATCAGAAATTTAAAAGAGTACAGTCTTAAGATGAAGCAGAGCCATCAGTTTTTTGCCTCACTACTTTTAATTAACCCTAAGCCGTAACAAATGGCTCCAAATGTGGCCTCGACAATGCACACCAAAAGTATGAACAGAGACACTATCTATGCGCAACATGGCACTGTTAATACTCTGATATTTTATAGCTGTTGATACAATCAGCCTCTCTGAGAGCTACCAAAAAGTTCAGGAAGCCTTACTACCAGCCTCAGAACCATAAAGCTGAATTTTAGAGCTGTACATTCATTAGGAGATAATAGAATGAGTTACCTAGTCATAAAACAGAGACGCAAGCATATCTTATGCATTGAGTCAATAAGATCCAGCATTCAACATCCTAAACTGGAAACAATGTATTGTAAGTACATCTACGCCAGCCTAATAGATGAAGGGGTGTGAGGCTGGTCAACAGATAGAATCTATTTACCCCTTAAGTCTTTGCCTAGAAGGTCTTCTACAAGACAGTAGCCAGATGCGTTTGACATCTGCCCAAGATGAGTATTTTTATCAATACATCACCTCTAACCTTTACTCAACTAAGAGCCCCAAGGCAGCTGGTGTTTTAAGTCAGAGTTGACTTCTCATAGGCTTTGGCGGTAAAACGTGAAGCAGGTTGTCCTGGGTTAATGTCTCATAAATGCATTAGTAAAAGAAACAGTAAAATTAACTAACTTTATTTCTGTGTAACTATATTATTTTTCTGGACTAATAATATAAAATCTCTTTTGTACTTATACTAAATACAAATCTTTCAAATTAAAATGATAAAAAAACATACTTTACTTTGAGGAAATTCATCATGAAAATAAGTTGGCACCCATGATAGCAAAAGTGTAAAGACTAAAGATTCACATGTCGAACAAAACAGAAGTGTCCTAAACAAAAGTTTTAATAATTTACTCATTTATTTATAACCAAATCACGTCCTTTTCTACTCAAGCTAAAAGCTCGTTCCTTTTAGGGAGAGCAATTTGACATAGCCATAGACTGCAGGTAAAAACCTTTACCTACAACTTATGACTGTAGGTAGAGTAACATAGGCTGTAGGTAAAAAAAAAAATTATATTCTTTGTGACTAGCAAGCTATAATTATTTTAATGTACACTACTGTGACAAAACAAACATTAGGCTACCTATATTGTTACTTGAAACATAATGATGAAGACAAATACTCATGCACAAATTCAATCAGAATTGCTCCACAATACACATTGAATCAGCGCTTTGCTGACTATGCGCTTTTAGCTTAAATCTTGTTTCATAGCAAATTAATTTAGGAGTTCCGAAACAAAAAATATTGAAACTCTACAAATAAGCATGATTAGTATGATTTGTTTTGGTGCTACCATATTGGTATGACTTTTCTTGAGTTTTTATTATATTTTTTTAAGTTCTTTGTTTTCTAGTTTATTTATCCTATTCTGATAAATATGAAAATATTTTATAAGTAATAATTTGAAGTACAATTAATGTTTTTTATTTGTTTTTGGAAAGACCAATCTGATTCTTTGTGATAACTCTAACTGAATCATTTAAAACTTTAGGATCAGATTTTATAAAACTACTAAAACAACAGAAACAGCAAGTCAACAACAACTAAAAGAACTATTTGATATTGTCAAATCTGCTTTAGTTACTGTCAAATTACTGTCAGGTGTCTAATAGAAGGTGCGGTTGAAATAAAAAGATAGATGGAAATTTTAGTTCAGATCTATAAAATGGAGGAAGGAGGGGTCTTGATAAACAGGTAGGTCGGAATATTTATTTTTATTTCTTTAAGTGTGTTTATATTTTCTAACTTTTTAAAAGTCTTAAAACTAGAAAATAATAACTGAAGGTTTTATTTTTAGTTTAAGATACAGTTTCTTTTGTTCATAATAAGTAAAACTTTAAAAAAGAGGGGAAGAGGAGCGACTCAGAAAAGATACAAAATTAATAAACGCTTACTTCCATTTATTAAGCAACAAGAGTACTTTTTTTTTCCATAGATCTTTCATAATTCATGCTTAATAAGTAACTAGCCTGGACAAGTAAAATACCAGTCTTGCTAAGTATATACATTTACACACACACATATATATTTATATTATATATATATGTATTTATAATATATATATATATATATATATATATATATATATATATATATATAATATATATATATATATATATATATATATATATATATATATATATATATATATTGTAGGAATTATGTTAATATTTCCAGTAAGAGTGCTCAATACAGCGTGTTATTTAATTAGTAGAGCAAATATAGTGAAAACTAAATAATTATTAAGGTATATTTCAATTACATAACTAAAAGTTTCACGCAATAGCGATCATCAGATGTAACAACAACAAAAAAGTAACAACAAAAATTATATACAAAAAATGCTATGGAATGTTCGCTTTGATGACATTAAAGTTTTTTATTAGAAATTTATTTTTAGCAGAAAACTTTAGAAAATTTGCGTTTTTTTTTTGCAAAAAAAAAATAAATATTTGCTGTAAAACATAAAAAAATAAATAAATAAAGGTCCTCAAATTTTAATTTGGGTGGCGCCCAAATACAGTCAAACTATCTAAAATGGTCTAGAATAGCCCCTGAATATATATAAAATTTATTAGCAGTTTTTAAATTAGTACCTGCTTTAGAAACAATATTTAGAATACCTGCTTGAAATGTGTTGATTGATATAAAAAGTTAAAAAAGCATGTGGAAATAAATTTATAAAAAACTTAATTATGTGTAATAAAGGACTTATCATGAACTGTATAATATGGGTCATGTATGGATCATGGTTTATTCCACACCATTTTTATACTTATTCTATATAGTCGTTTTACGAAGATATGGTGTTTTAAATAACAATATTTTCAAAATAAAAAATAAAACTCACCAGAATGGCTTACTTGTTTTCAAAGATTTCCAATTAAAGCTTACAGCATTCTGGTTTACAACAATGATATTATCATAGTTAAAATCTTGCTGAATAAATATTTTAAGCATAAAAACCCACATCATGCATAAACTTCCGATGAACAAAAATACACTCCGCCAGCCACTGTAATCTAAAAGCAAAGATCCAATCAAACCAGAGAATATTGATCTAAATAAACAATAAAATTTTTAAATCTAAATAATATAACTTTAATTCATTACACACATATATATATACATATATACATACATATACATTTTTTTCCTGTAGTAATCACCTTTATCATACTGATATTTATCTGAGTATAATTTGTTTAAATACTTATATTATCTCATATTAACCATACTCTCATATCCCCAGTTAAAAACTCTTATATTCCCAGTGAAAGTCTGATGTAACACTTCTGGAACAGTCTAACCATAACCTTTCAAACTTTATCATAACATAAATTTTTAATAACAACAATTTTCTTTAAGCAATACAATGATATTTAAGTTCTAAATATATTAACTATTCCAGTTTTTATTAAGTTCTTGCAGCATTGATTTAATTTCAACATTTGGTTTTACTTATAAAATAATTCCTACTTCAGTTTTAAATCAGTTTTCTTGAAATTAATTTTCAGTTCTTATTATTATAATATTATAATTTTATGTTTATATTTATAAATATTAATAAATATTTTATGATATAATTAATTTTAAATTCCTAGTTCAGTTAATATTATACTTCTATTAAATTTTTTCAGCAATTTTTGACAGGATATTAACTTAATAATTATCATTAAAAATGTTTCAACACAACAATATTTAAACAATTTTTTAACATATTATTAAACAATATAGATAAGAAAAGAAGTAGTTGCAGAAAACTCATTTGATGTCTCAATTAAATTGAGATTTTTTGAAACTAAAAGAAAATATGTGATTGAACTTTTATCACATATTCTTGTTCAGTTTCATAAAAACTTTCATCTCTAATGTTTTTTTCATTTGATTACAATGCTCAACAGTTAAAATTCCACTAGGTGAAAAAATCCTTTCCACATATGCCTGCTATGCTGGGCTAACAACAAATCTTCAGCAGGCATTGCAGTCCTATTATACTTGCTATTTTGTTTCCAAAGTGAAGCTCATTACGTGGCAGAAGATCATCACCACTTATGTCTTATGTAGAATTAATCAGGGCTTGGCAACCAATGGAAACCACAACTGCTTAACCAGTTTTTTGTTCGGTTTTATTGAAACCAAAAGCGATTTTTCACAAGCAAACAAGTAATGTGGAAAGCAAAAATATTATGAAAACACATATAATTTTAAAAAGCACTTTGATATTGCATTTAATTTATTTATTTCAGTATTTTTTCTATTAATTATTAATAGATTACATACTGACAGAATCTTTCAACGATATTTAAATTTTAAATTACTTATAATAATCAAAATAACACTAACTTAAAGTATTTTATCAACTTTTTTCTTTTTCTTTTGTATTTTCATTTTGTTTGTTTAATTTTTTGTTAATGTTGTATTATTTTACTTAATTAATTAATTGTTGTTTAATTTTATTAAGTAACTAATATAAAAAATTAATATAATACAAAATATAAAAACAAAACATAGTATATTTTTACATTATGCTTTTTTAAAAGAAAAATTATGCATATGTACATTACATGCATAATTTTTAGTTAAGAATAGTATATTCAGTTATGAATAGTATAAAAATAAAAGATAAGTTATCGAGTTGCAACAAAAAAAGGATTAAAAAGGAAAAAATAGTCTTAAAAGAAAAAATGATACAAGTTCATTAGATTTGAACTAAATTAATAATGAATAAAAAAAGACATTAATGTCACTGTACATTGATAAAAATTATTGTTTAATAACTAATAAAAAATTAAATTTTTTTATTTTAGTTTAAGTATAAAATTTTTTATCTAGTTTACAGATCTAATTCCAGTATATCAATTCTATAAGTTACATTGGATTTATACAGCAGCAATAAAAATTTTAAAAAGTTAGAACTCTGTATTCATTTCAAGGTAATACAAACTGATATCTTTTTAAATTTGCCTTTGTGAATTCCTGATGCTCTTAAGTTTATAAAACAAAAAGTTCATGGATAGATTGAAGATTTTGGAGATTAAAGAATTAAATTAAATTTTGAAAAGGTCTGAATTGTAATTTATCATGGTTGTATGCTACATTCCCATTATCTACCTAAATAATTCTAAAATGCTTCTTAAATGCATTAAGTATAATTATATAAATATATATATATATATATATATATATATATATATATATATATATATATATATATATATATATATATTATATATATATATATATATATATATGTATATATATATATATAAAATTTATTTAAAAGAACAAACCCCATAGATGTACCAGATGCAGCAAAACTGTATGCAAAATTTCGATTGTTTGGATGAATGTTTTTAGAAACTAACGATGTAAGAGCTGGGAAATAAAATCCTAAAAAAAGATGCAAATATGCGCCGACTATAAAGAGTAAGAAACAAATGCAAAAATGTACTTTGACATTCAATATAATAACTATATAAAAACTCCAACTATATAAAATACAACCATAACTACACATAAAAACACATTTACACTAAATACTTATAATAAAGATAGTTTAAATATAGTTACTTTAAACATGGTCACATTAAACAAATCTCCTTTACACATGGCAACTTTAAACACAAATGCACTTATCATAGTTAACTTGTTTCATTATGATTAGAAAAGAAAAATGAAAACTATTTATATTATAACACACCTTGAGCAACCCCTGTAATAATTCGCAAAGCTATGAAACCAACATTTACAGGTAAAATATTTTTAACAAATGGAATTAAAAATGTTGAAATTGACCAAATTGTTGCTGACAGAAACAAAACTCTTTCACCACCAAATCTATCAGAAAAAACACCACTAAGTATTTGAGTAAGGATGTAGCCAAAAAAAAATGCTGACATAACCATACCCTAAATTAAATATATATATATATATATATATATATATATATATATATATATATATGCATATATATATATATGTATATATATATATGTATATATATATATATATATATGTATATATATATATATATATACACAGCGCTCAAAGTGAGGCGAAATGCCATCTCGTCACATATTTTCATATATATATATATATATATATATATATATATATATATATATATATATATATATATATATATATATATATATATATAAATATATATATAAATATATATATATATACATAGATCTTTTGAACATTGAACCAATCATAAACCTTTTAATACTTGGACTTTTTTTTTACTACACTTTAACTTTCTGAGAAATTAAAGTGCACTCTTTAAGAATCAAAACACACAAAAAAATATTTGGAATATTCTTATATATTTATAGTTAATTTTAGTTAAATTATGAAAAAATAAGATTTATTTGTACAACAAATGACTTTCTTTTCTTTTTTATTAAAACACCTCAATACTCAGAATAAATAGAATACTAGAGATCAAGTCTTCATTACTAAAAAAAATTTTTAAATGTACAAGATGTTACACACATCTGTAATAATGATACACAATATCTGTAATAATGACACACAATATCTGTAATGATTTGAGAACCTCTCAATATATATTAAAAGAGTGTTCAATACTTTTTCCTACTTGATAGTAAAAAAAAAAAACTTTTAACATTCTTTTTCATTTCATTCCAATAAAGGGGGCCATTTCAGTGCATTGCAATCTTGAAAACTTCCCTTTATTAATATATATATATATATATATATATATATATATATATATATATATATATATATATATATATATATATATATATATATATATATATATATATATATATATATATATATATATATATATATACACACATATATATATATATATATATTTGTTAGTTTTCTTTACAACAACTTGGTTCTATTACTATGAAACACCTGCTTCATAGAGAAACAAGTTAGGTGAAGTCTTACTAGGGTTAGTAGTGGGATTTACTCTGTACCTCTCACTAACATTGTGTTCTACCACACTACTACTACATTATCACATTACTTTGTTGAGAGCCATTGCAGTTGGGAGCAATTGTGCATTTGTTTCAGTTTAAGGATGTTAATAAAACATACAAAGCTCTCCTATATACTTTTAAGAAACATTATTAGTAATAACTTTTAACTCTTGATAAAAACCTATAAAAATTTTTTTAGAATTAGTTTACAATAGTCTTTTTAAACATGTTTCATAGAATATTGAGAAATATATTAGTTAAACTGCCAGTAAAAAATTCCATATGGCTTGAATCAATTAACAAGACTTATTACAAGAATATACACGAAGCAAGTCTTATTGTCCTAAAAGTTGTTTATCTTGTTAACCATAGTTAACAAATTTTTTGCATTTCTTCACTTGAAAAAGCTTTAATGAAATTTCAGAATCCAAATCACATAAATGAGAAACAAGAAAATGGCCCCTGATCACCTCAACAGTTTTTCAGATTTACCTGATAACAAGTTTGTTGTCAAAGTAAAAATTAGCCTAATAAAAACTGAAATCAAAAAACACACTAACTGACAAAAAGCATAAAAAATAACACTTCTTTGTTTTTGCTATTTTCCACAACCCACATTACCCTAATACCCATAGGCGTGTTGCAGGAACCATGCAACACTAGAACCAAGGTAACACTAAAATTATAAAACATCAACAAAAACTTTATAATAAAACTAAACTTTTTACTGATAAACTTTTATCCCAATCATATTCTTTAGCAATTTCAACAACACAAATACTCATTGACGTACGAGATGAATATAAAAGAAAACAACCAAAAAATAATGTCATGCTCCATTTCATTTGCTGCCTTTTATTCCAAAACAAAGTTCCGAGTGATGGAATTTCATAATCATCTTTTGTCAAAATTTTAAACTCTTCATTTTCCATTGATCACAAAAAACTTTTTTTTTCAAAAAAAAAAAATATCCTTTAAAAAAACACCTATAGAATAGAGCACACAGTAAAATAAAAAAAGAGCACACATTGACAAAAACTAAAAAAAAGTACTTTTAAAATATTAAAATTTACTGTTTTTTTTTTCAAATAACATAAGATGTTTCATTGTTACTAAAAAGGTTTACAATAATGATAAAGTTTTTTCATTGGATTTAAATTAGTAAATATGATAATAAATATTTTAAAATAAATATTTTTCTAATTTGAAAATTGGCTATTTAAATAGAACTGTCAACTTTTGATTTATGAAATATTATATACATATTTAAACCACCAGATTAAAAAAAAACACCATTTCTAAATATAATTTCTAAAAAATATAGTTTTAACTGTGGAAAAAATTTATCTAAATAAATACATAAAATAAATTTAAATTCAATAATTGAATTTGAAAAAACTAAAAAACATAAATATATCAAAAGAAATAAAAACGTTTTTTTTCTTTAAAAAAAAATCAAAATATCAAAATAGAATGTTGTTTTATAAAGACTAATTAATAGATTTGTAATTAAATTGAGTCTTCTGAAAAAGAGTATTCTCAAAAAAATTCTCTGTTAAAGCATACTTAAATTTACAAGAATGGTACTCTGACAAAAAATTTAAAAAAACAGTTCATATCATATAATAATAAAAAAATTTTCCAAATTCAAATTTAAAAGAAGATTATCAAAGTTTTAAATTTTTATTCATTTTTTTAGTAAATTTATAAAAGATTTTAAGAAAAAACTTTAAAACTTTTCACTTCACTTTGCATTATTTCAACTTGCATCACTTCAATTTGTATCACTTCAATTTGTATCACTTCACTGAGTAATATATGATCAATCCAACAACAACTCCAAGTATGATTAATAATAAAACACACAAGCACTTTTTTTTTCTTGCACTTCTCTGGAAAAAAGTTAAACTTTAGATAATTTCAGCAAACATACTTATATTAAAAAGCCATTAAATTCCAATTCAATATTTGGATTTAAATTTACTAAAAATTAAATTTAAATTCAAAGAAAACTAGTAAACATAATTTAAATAATAAATTACAAATTATAATAACAATCAAATCTTGTGTTTTTCTATAATATATATATATATATATATATATATATATATATATATATATATATATATATATATATATATATATATATATATATATATATATATATATATATATATATATATATAATATGTCAACTTGGTGTTTGTATTTTTTAATAAAAAGTTTAATTTAAAAAACTAGAAAAAGTTTAAAATCTTAAAAAAGTTTTTTTTAATTTAATAAATTGGGTGCCCATACCAAAACCCTCAGTCAATGTAGCAGCACTCCTCACATATTTGCCTATTTGTCAGTTGATGTAGTAGCACTCCTAATATACAGTATGGGCCAAAAAAAACTGGCCAAGAAACTTTACGTTGTTTTTTTACAAAATTTCTATTTAAAATATACAGAAAACAAGTTTAATGAGTGATTTTATTTAAAATATCAATATGTAAATATCATGCTTTTAACAGGTATATATAAAATGTATATATATATATATATATATATATATATATATATATATATATATATATATATATATATATATATATATATATATATTTTAAATATATATATATATATATATACATTTTAAAAGATAAAAAAAACCACCAAAATGTTTTTTTTGAAGAAAATCAACATTAAAGCAATTAAAGACACATTTTATGATGTAATGTTGATTTCATAAATACAAAAGTATTACCAAATATACATAATACAGAATAATTTTTGGCAGAATTATTGTATTCTATTATTATTTCATTTTATTTGAAACAAAATCTCAAAAACTAGTACTTGGTCATAGCACCTTTTGGAGCTAAGACTACTTGGATTCTTTTAAGCATACTGTCAACAAGCTTTGTTAATAACAATGGTTCTAAGCTATTCCATGTCTTTTACGCAATTAAAAAGACAAATCTCATCATTACACATTCTTGTTTTAATTTTATCTTTGAGTATTGATCATAGGTTTTCAATTGGATTTAGGTCTGGAGATTGGCTAGGCCACCATTTCAGAGTTAGCATATTTTTTTCAACATATGCTTTGTTATATTTTGCAATATGCTTAGGATCATTATCTTGTTGAAACAGATAGTTACCATAGTTACCATCTGGATATAATTCCAAGCAACTTGGCTTTGCATCATGTACAAGGATACCATGGTACTGGTATTAATCCATATATATGATCCTTTAATCTTGTGAATCCTTCCATGCGCAGTAAAGCATCCCCATACATTAATCTTTTTTTGATGCTTAACTGCATTACTACTCCTCCAAACACAAAATCTTTGATTGCATATAAAGCTAAAAGGAGACTCATCTGACCAAACAACTTGTCTCTATTGGGTAATAGTCCAGTCTTTATGCTCACTGCACAATAGAAGCCTATGTGCAATGTTGATCTTTGATAAAAGAGGTTTTTTGATAGCACAATGAAAATCTAAATTTTTACACTCATATAAACAACGAATTATGGTTTTTCCAGAAATACTAGTAATAGCAGTTTCTGCTTTTATCCCATCTGTAGAAATACAGCGATTTTTAAGGGCAGCTTGGACAATGCGTCTATCTTCTCTTTTAGTAGTTTTTCTCTTTCTTCATGATCCAGATTGACGAACTGTTTCTCCTGTCTCCTTATACTTCTTTAGAAAATCAGTAATAGTACCTTTTCCGCATCCAACCTTGCTTGCAATATCTCTATGAGTCATGCCAAAGGATGAAATCTCAATAATTCTTCCTTAACTAATGTCATTTAAAACCATTTTTATATATTATATATTTATCTAGTCTAAAATGTAATAAATTAGCATATTTTGTCATTAATAAATACATCTCAGATTTTTTTTATATATGCAGGGTTAGGGTAAGGTTAACCCTGTCTATCTATAATTTACAATATCGGACAAAACAACTGCAACAAAATAATGGTAATTTAGTTTCTTTATATAAAAGTGCTGCATTTTTTCAATTTAGAGAAATAACTATGTAACTGTTTAGAGATAATATTCTTCAAGTTTTATTCATCACAAAGTTCATTATTTGTACACAAAAATTAATAAATTAATCAAAAGTATTAAAAATAGATGATTTCCTTCTGGACAAAACAAGTGCAACTCCACAAAATGTTGACCAAGCTGTATTTTGTTATCAATATTTCACGGCAAATGCCATCGTTTCCAATAATGTTAAACTTCGATTCATCACTGAAGAGGACAGTTCGCCATTTCTGCACATTCCAGTCAATATGAGATGTTGCAAACAGGAGTCTTTTCTTCTGGTTTTTTAGTGAAATCAACGGTTTCTTTGCAAGGTGTCGAGAAAACAATCCGGCTTCAACAGTACGTTGTCTGATTGTTTGGTTCTATACAGACAGCCCTAATTGCTTTTGTCTCGACTGATGATATCCAGGGATCCTTCTTGATGAATCTGACGATCATAGAAGCCTCTCTAGAAGTGGTGGAACGCGGTCTTCAACCTTTGTTATCTGCTTCAAACTTCCCCATAGAACGATATTTGGAACATAGTCTTGATACAGTCCATTTTTTCACGCGATATTTATCACAAATACTTTTTTGTGACATTCCACTTATGTAATCGCCAATAATTTTCTTTCTTAGTTCCAATCCAAGACTGTCGGGAGCCAATTTTGCACTTGAAGTCATAAAAAATAATAAAAATAAATAATCACGCTTCTCAAGACTTACCGTGTTACATTTACTTTGTGATGATACAATAATGCTCTGTGGAACACAACGTTTTGGTTGGATGTGGACTGTATTGATGTAATGAAACACTTGTTGTATTTCACTTCTTGTATTGATGTTCTTCGATAAAACACTTTGATAAAACTCACTTCGATAAACTGTCTTGATAATACTGACTGATTGACTTCCATATACTGACTGAATTACATGTCGGTTTACATGTCTCTAATATAGTAAAATGAACCTGTGTGAACCTGTTCTGGAAGATTCTAGATGCTTCTTTTCGATGCTTCTGGATGCTTCTGAATGTTTCTGGATACTTCGGGATGCTTCGAGATGCTTCTTCTGGAAACTTCTGGAGGCTTTCGCATGCTTCTGAAAACTTTTGGATACTTCCTTTAATTATTAAAAAACTTCCGTGACATTGACACGGACCAGACTTAAGAAAATGAAACAAACCAAAAAAGTTGCACTTGTTTTGTCCGCTGCAAAATGGCACTTGTCAATGAAATTCTGCCTATGTGCTGTCACCTGTCAGCTTATTGCTCATGTCATAGCATGCTATGACTCCAGACTCCTGAACTGTTTGCTGTGGTAGTATAGTTCGTTTCATTTAAACATGTAAAATTAGGAACACTTTTTAGCATTGTTCAATGTTGGTTGCAAATGTTTTGTCCAATACTGTATATTTTATTACAAAATAATCAAATAACTTAGGAGTTATTTAACCACAACTATGACAATAAGAGCCCAAATAAGAAATTGTTGAGAAAAGAAGAGAAAAGTTAACTTAACATTATAAGAAATAAGATATAAGGCATTTAAATAAACAAGAAATATGCAAAAAGTTGAGATATTAGTTGAAATATCTAAGAAATGCTTTTAAAACCCATAAAATGTAAATTTTTCTGCAAAAAAAACTTGACCGGTTTTTTTTAGCCCATACTGTATATGTATATGTATATGTATATGTATATGTATATGTATATGTATATGTATATATATATATATATATATATATATATATATATATATATATATATATATATATATATACATATATATATATATTTCAGAGTGTAAACTAGCCCTGTGGGGCCCCTTTAAATGTGGGGCCCCACAGGGCTAGTTTACACTCTGATATATGTATATATAAATTCCCAAATGCTCAAAAAATTTAAATAACCAATTTAAAGTTGCTTCAAACTCTACTTCAAGTAGTACATGTGATTTGTTAACAAAAAAATTGAGAAGCCGTCTACGTCAGATACTTTGAAAATTTTGATTAATTATGGATATTACAGTAAGTCTTTAAGTTATTATTTATCTTTTTTTGTTTGGTATTTTATATCAACTGAATTACGTGATCGCATTGACTAAAATCATTTTTTAGTTATCTACTATCTATTCTCTATTAACTTTTTTAAAAGACCACCTCTGAAATATAAGTAATAAAAAATGTTTTATGAATATAATAAACTGGTACAAGAAATTTATTTAACGAGGAAAATAGATTTCTTTACTTTACTGCCTGCTTTTATTTAAAAGGTAAATTGAATACGTATATTAAAACGTATTAATACATTCGTAAATATGTATTAAATATGTATTAAAACGTTAATTAATTTAGTTTAATAACAAGAATATTTTTTTTTTATAACAACAAACTGGTACTAGAAATTTAAAAATTAAGAAAGCTGGATTTCACTTTCAACTGAATTCACTGTTTGCTTGAATTTAAAGTGCAAAAGCAAATTTAAATGTTTGAATGAACTATAGTCATAGCATTTTATGACCATAAAAAATAATTATTGGTAATTTTCGTTGCCACGATAGCGTGCAAGAGCTTGCGACCAATATTTTTTTGTAATTAAACAACATTTGATGTTGTTTTTGCTGAGAATTTGGAATTGTAACTTTATTTCGCTATGTGATTAATGTATGAAGAAAACTGATATTAATTATAAAAATGAACTTTATAAATGAACTCTACTCTATAAATGAACTCTACTCTATAAATGAACTCTACTCTATAAATGAACTCTAAAATTGAACTCAACAAATATGAAATATGAAATTTATGAACTCGTGTTTACTTTGTTTCTTATTTTAAAACATTTCTTTTGAGGACGCAATTTATTACATGATGGTGTAAGGGTTTGTCCATAAAGGATGTCAAGCAGAATTTAAATAATAATTAGAAGTAGAAGATCATTGGGTCTCTTCCACAGAGATTTTCATTGAACATAAATCAGTATATTACTTTAAAAATCGCCATTTAACACCCAACATTTAAAGCCAATATATTATTTATCAGGGTTTTTTTGTGAGGAAACAATGCATTAGTAAATAATATTTTTTGATAGCATTTGACCTTCAAAAGGCAATCAGTTTTTTGTTTGCAATTACAATTTTCAGCATTTTTTTTTTGTTGAGAATTTCATTTTCAGAGAACTTCCTGTGAAATATTTTCTTTATAATTTGAACTTTTTGATATTTAAACATTCTTCCTGATGAACCTGCTGAAGGTGAAACAGAATGTAGAAGATATTTAGATAATTTTTATTATTTTATATATATATTTTTATTAATTAATTTATTTATATATATATATTTTTATTAATTAATTTATTTATATATATATATATATTTATTAATTTATTTATATATATATATATATATTTATTAATTTATATATATATATATATATATATATATATATATATATACATATATATATATATATATATATATATATATATATATATATATATACACACACACATATATATATATATATATATATATATATATATATATATATATATAAATTTGTAGTGATGCTGATTTGTGAATTCGATGAATTATATAATAATATATATATATATATATATATATATATATATATATATATACATATATATATAAATATATATATACATATATACATATATATATAAATAAAATATATATATATATATATATATATATATATATATATATATATATATATATATATATATATATATATATATATATATATATATATATATATATATATGAGCAATTGCTAACTCATTTTGCTTATCTTTATAACATGGCTTTTTCAGAAAAATAAGAAGAATAAATAAACGAAGAATAATGGAAGATTGCTATCCAACCCCAAACCCTTAGTCGATTTTGCGGCATTCTTTTGTGAGCAGGAAGTCCCCGGCAGTAGGCTTTTTGACTTCACCCAATAAGTCATTTTAAAAAAAAGTTAAATAAATTTATAACAAATTGCATTAAAGAACATGAAAACATTCTTACAATCAACAATCAATTAAAAATATGAATTTAGTTTAATTTAGCAAAAAAAAAAAAAAAACTTTAACCAGCCTTTACAAAAATTTAAACAGTTATAATCTGCAGATTTGTACCTGGTATTTTGTAGCTCTAATAAGCTCAGAGTTTGCTTGCTCTACTTGAATGACAGCATGTTCAATATTACTCTCAATAGAATCTGCAAATAAAATTTAAAAAATATACGATAAATAAAAAATGTGTAAAAAACAACAATACTTTTTTTTTTACATTATTGTAATACATTTTTTGAGGTTTCCATATTTAGTTTTAACATTATATAGACAACTAATAAAATCGGTTGGAAAAACCTCATTTCAATCTACCTAATTGTAGAGGGAAATCAAATTCTTAAAAAGGGGAAGATAATTTAAAAATCCATACATAGATGAGGAAATTGATAGTTTGAAGGGGTGGACACACTTAAATAAGCTTTGATTAGGAAAGTATTTAAAGAGGGAGGTTGCAGCTTTTCTTTTAAACTTTAGCATAATTGAAATATATTTTCTCATTTATATGATAAGCTAGAACTAAGCTACTAGAATTTTTTTTTTCTCTTTTTAATACAATTTTGAACATGCATATAATATTTTGTTTTGACAACTAGGCCACAGCTTTCTGCATATTTTTATAGTTTGCTAAACTAATGTAAAAAAAAAAAAAAAAAAAATTTATAAATTAAAAAAATAGATAAATAAATCTTAACCAATGAGAAAATAAATTAAAGGAGAACTTAAAAAAACTACAAAATAACAAAAATGTCTTTTTTTTAATTTAAAAGTGTTTCATTTAGTAGAATTTAGAAAAGTGTTTCATTTAATAGAATTTAGAAAAGTGTTTCATTTAATAGAATTTAGAAAAGTGTTTCATTTAATAGAATTTAGAAAAGTGTTTCATTTAATAGAATTCAGAAAAGTGTTTCATTTAATAGAATTTAGAAAAGTGTTTCATTTAATAGAATTCAGAAAAGTGTTTCATTTAATAGAATTTAGAAAAAAAGTTTTAAAGTCATTTCATTTAACATAATTACTTTGAAACTTAAGTATTTACAAAAATTTAAAACTTTGATACTATTTAATGTCTACTATATAAATACTATACTATATAAATAAAACATTGCCCATGGTGAATGGAATTGTTGCATCAAGATAAATAAAGATAAAAAGTTCCTTATAGACCAGCAAGGTCCCTGAAAAATGTCAATGACATCCATTTACTTAATATATAAGCAAACAGATGCTAAATATAGAAAAAGCAAGCTTAAAGAAAAAAGATACAGGGGGACATCACAGTTTAAACCACTTGAAAGTGATAAAAGCATAACTGCGTGCTTATAAAGCTTGAAAAAGGGTGGTTTGTATCTCGAAAACCCTATGTGGTGAAGAAATTAAAGGAATACTTGAAGGGTACTCAATCTCTTGATGATTATAAAGAACTTGCACTTCTTCTTTTGGGAATAGACGATGGAACAACAACTACTTGCATTCCTGGGGCTTACTATTGTGCAAGATGGATGGCTAAAGGTATATACTATTTAAAAATATTTGATACTTGTCATCAGTTAAATGTCATCAAGAAAGAAATTGAGATATTAGGAAGAATATCTCTTTATAAACACAATATATGTGTTTCTGGTTTTCAGCTCCTCTTACAACTTAAATGTCACAGAGAAAAAAATTGGAATTTTAAGAAGAATATGTCTCTTCATAATCACAATATATGTGTGTTTTCAGCTCCTTTTACAACAGAAGCACCAAAAATTGATCTCCTTCTTTTAAAATTAATCAAAAAATATTGTCAATTTGACAACAAAGTTACAAATGTAGCAAAAATCTGAGTTGACCCTTAAGTCAGTTCCCAAAAAAACCGCAATATACCTGTGAAAGCTTTTGACCATAGGATTTCAAAAATGTAAAAATTTAAATCATCTGCCTACGTCCAAGAAAGAAAATCAAATTTGAAATAACAGCATGGCCAAAATTTTGCATTTTTACAGTATTTATCAACAATAAAACTTTATATTTAAAAAGTTCTTGGAAAAGACTTTCTCTGGACGCAAAATCTATGAAGGAAGTATTTTTGAAGCTCTGGTAAAAAAAAAATTGCAAAAATGCCTAATTCGGCAAGAAATTAAGATAAAAACCAAAAAGTTGTATGCCTTATGTGTCTCAAAAAAACAAACAGACATCTCACTATGTTTTTGGAGGAAAAAATTCAAATTGTCTACAGCCAACAAATCAATTTTAATGACACAAGAGAATCTTAAGGCATTTGTGAAATATGCAGGACTTCTTTGAGAAAACATTATGAAGGTCATCAAGTTGAACTGCCACAGCTTTATCAATTTGAAAGGATAAATGTTAAAATTCCCACAAGAGGAAATACTTGTGAATGCTTAATTTGCGGTGGTAGGGGGGTACCACATCAATGCTCTACTGCAAAATTTAGAGAGAACATGAAAAATTTAGCTGCAAATGATGGTAAAGTTGCAGAGCATATTGCATCATTAACAATCATAAACAAGAAAGCTTCTCCTCATGGAACCATTTGACTTTCTCAAGCCAAGAGTGTACAAACATTACCTATAACTCCTGGTAACAAAATATTTTAACTTATCATTTCATTTAGGATAACAAATGATAACATTTGTTGTACTTTAAGTCCATTAAGTGCAAAACAGCTGTTCAAGGATCAACCAGTTATAACAGCCAAAGATCTTGCTCAGGTGCAAATTGCCCATTGGAAGTGTCACACCAAAAGTTCATGCAGTATTTTTTTCATGTTAAAGACTTTGTCAAACAGAAAAAGATTTCACTTGGATTTTATAGCGAACAAACAACAGAAGCAATGCCACTGCTTTAATTTACATTGGGAAAGATACAAACGCCCAATAAGTTATCCAGAATATGGAAAAAGGCTTTTTATGTGCCTTGTTGATTTCAACAGCAAGAATTTTTGATGTGAGCTTCAGCCAAACGCAAGGAATTACCTAAGAATAATCAGCATTAGAGAAAAAATGTTTATGAAATTTGAAAATCTTTTAATGAGAAAAGAATTCTAAAAGAGAGTTTCCATGTCAAGTCATGTAGAATTAAAGTATTTTTATATATGTTGCGTGAATAATGTAATAATAATGAATGATGTGAATGAATGTAAATGATATGAATATGTAAAAATGATATGAATAATGTAAAAATGCACAATTTTGGGCATGCTGTCATTTCACATATTTGTGCAATAATGGAAATTTTTAAAATTGATTTTCTTACTCGGTCGTAGGCAGATGATTTAAATTTTAACATTTTTGGAATCCCATGGTCATAAGCTTTCACAGGTATATCGCGGTTTTCTCAGGAACTGACTTAGTCTACTCAGATTTTTGCTAACTACCCACATCATTAAAATTCATCATTTTTATTTTTATCTTATAACATTAGCCTGTTTGATTTGCATTTGCTGTGTTACGTTATAGCAACAATTATTCCTTATTTCCTTATTTTTTTTAATATTCTATTTATTTATGTTGTTGCATTTTGAATCTCTGTAATACTTTAATACTGCTTTAGGCAACATGATTCAAGTTTTCAAGTATACTGAACTCAAAATATTTTTGGTTGAGATTTGACTACTGTCAAGTTTTTTTGTATATTTCAAAAATCTTTAAACTGGACTGTCTCATTTAGAGTTACCTGTTAGAATGAAAGTTTCTTCAGTATAATTGAAAAAAACTTTTTTACCATAATTTTTTATCATTATTATTTCATACTGTATTTTATAGTGTAATTTTTTTTCATTGTTTTATACTTTTATTTATTATTTTATACTGTAATTTTTAATTATTTTAGTTTTATGCATGTCTTTTATGGACTCGCTGAACTACAATTTGATTGTTACAAAAAGCAGTTTCATTTTAAATAAGATTTTGTTTTAATATAAAATATGTTAATATTGTATTAACTATATACACAAAAAATAGCTGTAAAAACCTTTCTGTTGAATGTTGTTTAGTTTTTATGTAGCGATCTATATTAGACTATATTGTAAAATAAATAAAATTAGTCAATCAGTATAATTACTAACCATTAAATGTTTTAAATAGTGCGCTACAATTGACACTTTGAGAGTACTGTTATCTTACTTGAGCCATAAATAATATCAAAAATGGAATACCCTGTTTAAAGTCAGTTTTACTTGTTGATATCTTCTAATAAATATCTTCTGTGCAAAATTTATTTTGTTTTTTAAGAAAAAAATAATCCTTGAGTTTTGTTATTTATTATATATGTTTATATCAGTGATGCATTTAGTTTTGACATTTGGCATAACAGTTTGAGGGCCAACTTGACCTACTAGTGTGAGCAACTTATTTTAGAACTTTAGTTAAAATATAAATGTAGTTGTTATATTAGTTTGTCATTGATTGGAAAAGAGATTTTATAAGACTTGTGTGAAAGAGTAATTTTCTGGGTATTTTTAGAATTGATGAGTCTTTAAAAAGTTAAAAAGTACCTGATCAAAGTAAATAAGGAAATATCAAAAAGTTAATCTGTGATTTTATTAAAAAACATATAATGTATTATATGTAAATGTATATGTATTTAATAATGTATATGTAAACTAATGAAAAAACAGCTTAAAAACAGCTGGCATCTGTTGATGATGGCATCAATAAAAAATTAAAACAAAAGCAACATAAGCAGTTAGTAAAAGGGCACACAAACAGCTGTCATTTAAAAGAATCCACCTACCTTGTGTACCTACCTTTTTATTTTAATACACCTTAATGTTTTTTGTTTTTCTGCTATGAATTTTTATGAAAAATTTTTTGCACTATGAAATAACATACACACACATATGTACACATTTTTGCGGATTTAGATTAATACTGTCAATATTTTTCAAACTTCAAATTTTAAACATCAGACCAATTTAAAAAGTTTTTTTTCGAAAATAAAGAAAATAACAATGGTGTCACCAATGATGTTTCATGCAATGCTAAGTACACACCAGGCTTGGTCAGGAAGACGTGCGATTTCACGGTTTTATATGACTACGCAAATAATATTTTGTTTTGACAATTTGACCACAGTTTTAACATTTTAATAAAGTGCTGAAAGCTTCACTTAGTTATAAAGAAACTAAAAAAACAAACTTGTTTAAAAAAAATAAAAAAAATCTTCTTAAAAAAATAATAAAAAATAAAATAAAAATAGCTTAGTAATAAATAACTAAAACAAAAATAAAAAAAATAAAACATAACTTAACTAAAACAAAAAATAAACAAGATAATTACATTTATAATAAATAACTTTGAATCCTTATTATTGTTTTTATAATGTAAAACTAGTAGTGTCCTGTCTGCTTTGTTACCGCACCATATAAAATTATATTGATAGTAAAAAAAAAAAAAAAAAAAAAAAATGGTACTAATCGCTAAGGAAAAAAAATTATAAAAATTATAAAAATAAAATTATATTTATAAATTTTTTTTTAACTTGCATTCTTGCAAAAAAATATTTTTATATTTCGAGTATATTAACTTTAATTGATAATTTTTTAATTTAAAGACAAAAAAAAAAAATACATTAATACTTTAATGTAAAAAAATCATTAGCAGTGAATTGTTACTTTATTTAAAAGCATTTTAATAATATTAAATTAGTATTTAGCACTGTTATTTAATTCAAACAGTAGTTTAACGGTATATATTCAAACTTTTTCTTTAATTCAAAAGTTTGTCTTTTTTTCTTCTCAACAAAATCTTTTTGAGTTTATTAACTTTAATGATTTTTAAACAAAGTTTATTAAAGAGACAATCGTTGTTTAAAGTCGTCGCTTATAAAATTTAAAAAATAAATAAGATTAATTATAAAAAAATCTTTTATACTATTTTATTTATTAATTATATAATCTTATATATATTTAAATAATATAAATAAAAATTCATAATTTTAACCTATACTTTAAATTAAAACGTTAACAGTAAGTTATTTTATTTAAAAGCATTTGGCTATTATAAAAACGTTTCGCTATTATAAAAACGTTAGTAATATATAACAGGGAAACGTTAATATAGTAGTAGTAGTAGTAGTAGTAGTAGTAGTAGTAGTAGTAGTAGTAGTAGTAGTAGTAGTAGTAGTAGTATATATATATATATATATATATATATATATATATATATATATATATACATTGTTATAGTTATATTATTCTAATGCATTTTAATGTAGTTTAAAAATTAAATTTACTTGTGGTGTTTACTTTAAAATATTCTAACAACAAATATTAAAGATAAGTAAATAGTTGTTCAATAAACAAGACTGAAATACATCAATTTTTCTATGTAGCAGTTTGTGGAAACCAATTACTTTAATAATACTTGCAGTCATTTTTCGCGTAGGTAAAAAAAAATCAAATATGACTTTTATACAAAATTAGCTAATTTAGATGCCTACAACCATATTGAATTACTATTTTTGAAGAATTATGAAAACATTTTGTAAAAATTTCAAAATTTTTTTGTAAAAATTTAAAAAAATGTTTTACAAAGAGTTTCTCCTAATAATTTTTTTATTGAGTTTTTCTCAAAGTACATATAAAGTACATCTTAAAACACTTTGAAAAATGGCTGCAGAATAACACTGTTAACTTTAGGCTTATGGTTAAACTTTTTATATATTCTGCATATTTATAAGTTTCTTTAAAATCTTTTATATTATTTTATTTATTAATTTTATAACCTTATTTATATTTAAAAAATATAAATAAAAATTCATATAACTTTCATCTATACTTTAAATTAAAACGTTAACAGTAACTGTTATTTTATTTAAAAGCATTTCGCTATTATAAAAACGTTAGTAAAGATAAAAGCTTCAAAGTTATTTATTTGTGACGCGATAAAAAATAACTTTTTACAGCGCATTTTTAAAATGTTAAAAACCGTGGACAAATTGTCAAAACAAAGTATTATTTGCGTGGTCATATAATGGCAGTGCGATACACACTGATGACATCTTACTGAAATAGGTAGCTGCTGAAACTTAAGTACATGAATAGACTGCCTAAAAAGGTAAAACATGCAAGGAATGCCACTACATTGACTAAGGGTTTAGGTTGATGCAGCAATATATATATATATTTTATTTATTCTTCATTTTTTCTTTGTTTGAAAAATTAAAGCTCAGATTTTAAGAATTAAAACACACACAATATAAAAGAAAGTTGTGACTGAGATACACATTATCCATTGCATATATACACACACAGTGGGCAAGTAGCCATGACTTTTCATATTACTTTTAATTTTACCAAAAAGATTGTTTTTACAACATTCAACTTTATATATTAGTATTTTAAAACCTTGTACAAATTGTTATAAAAATATTTATATTGTGCTTATTTTATTTTATGAAGTATATCTATGGCTTGTTGCCATAAAAAACATTATAGAAACTGGAAAAATTGGAAAATTTTTTTGCTCCTATACACCTTCTTAACTTGGAGCCGATCGTAATAGAACTTATGTACCACCTTTACTAGAAGAATAATAAAAAAGGAAAAGTTTTTTTTATCGAAAAAGGAGAATTTTTGAGGAAAATTTCTTACTGTATTAGCTGCTCGATGTTCAATTTCAGGAAAAATTTGAGTTGGTAATTCCAAATTGATAAATTGATTGTAATTTAAAAAAAAATTAAAGCATGAAACGTCTAACAGTCAAATTCGATTACAATTGGACTGAAATGCATCTGATCAATCTGATATGATATAAATAAAGAAGATGAAATAGCATTCATCGTTAGTTCTAAGTTCGAGGTTGAAAAGAAGATATAGTAGAAGAAGAGATATTAAGAAGAATGGTGTAGAATATTAAATATAATGAACATTAAGTTAAATATAAAATTTCTGTTGAATTATTTCCAGTTGAAGAACTTTTAGTAATATTTTTTTCTAAATTTATTTATTAATTGTAATATTTATTAATTGTATATTTATTAATTGTATATTTTATAATTGTATAACTAAATAACAGTATAATTGTATAATTAATTAATTGTATAATTTAATAATTGTATATTTACTAATTGTAATATTTAGTAATTGTATTTAAGTAATAGTTGTTTGGATTTATTATTATAAACTGTTAACCTAACACAAAGAATAAAGGTTCAGGAAATATATATATATTTAAATAAAAAAATCTTCTACCCCACAACATACATAACATGACATTGATTACAAACACAACTATTTAAATTTTTATTTAGCTTTTTAATGTCTGCATCTACATCTATATCTACACCTCTATTAACACCCACATTGACACCCTATATATATATATATATATATGTGTATATATATATATATATGTGTGTATATATATATATATATATATATATATATATATATATATATATATATATATATATATATATATATATATATATATATATATATGCACATACCTATAGTACTTCCTTGTTCATGCACCAACAATGCCATGTCACGAAAAATCTCATTAACATTAAGAATATCCTCCTTAAAAAAAAAGTTATTTAACAGATATAAAAATAACAATAATTATTTAAAAGATGAAACAAACAAAAAAAGATTAAGTAAAATATCAATGAAGTTATAAAGCAAAAAGAAATGGAATATATAATATGATAATCTTACTTAAAGTCTCAAAAATGAACAACAATAGGTTATAAAAAAGAGGTTAAAATCACTGGTTAATTTCTATCAGCTTGGAAATTGATCAGTGATTGACAGAATAATTAAATGTGAAATATAAAAAAATTAAAAAATTAATTAAGTAATCAGAAGAAAAAAAAAAAAAAAATTAGTTATTAAAAAATGTAGTTATTAAAAAAATATAAAAAGTAGTTAATATAAATATACTTATATTATAAATATAAAGTAAATATACATTGCATATAAATGTTAAAATTTTTCTTTTCATGCAACAGAAGGTGATTCATATCTTTTTTAATCTTAAAATTTAAATCAAAAATATCATCTTCTATTTAAATTTTATTTAAAATAAATTAGAAAACCAAATTTATTTTTCACTATAACATTTGCAAATATTCTTTAGATTTCTCAATACTCTGAATTAAAAAAATAACTTCTTTTTGCAATTAAAAACCACATGTTTGAATATATATATATTCCATGTTTGAGTTTATATATGTAAAAAGCTGCAAATAATGTAGCACAATTTACCTCAATCTGGTTTAAACGACTCTCTTTTTCTTTAAGCTCTTCTAAATCATGCATAACTAACTGAGTCCTATAAAAATAATTAAAATAATTTTCATAAGCCAAACATTTTATTTAATAAAAACCTTAAAATACTATTTTAAGAAACATTTGTTAATGAATATTTTGCACGAAAAATATGTATTCAATCATACTTATATACATATATACAATTATAAATTTTGTGGAGGCTTTTTTATTCTTAAAATTTCTTTATTTTTCTTTTTCATTTTTGTCTGAATAAGTAGCTGGATTATAGGAAGCATTTAAATTGAAATAAGCATTATATATAAGTATAGTGCAGAAAATTGTGTGTGCATGTGAATTTATATATTATATAGATCTTACTTTTGGATTTTACCACACAAAAAACTTAGAGCTCCCTTAAAAACTTTGAATTCTCTAAAAATCATATTTGGTTGAACATTTTCAAGTTTGAGATTTGTTCTTTGTTGAGATTTGATTATTTCATATTTTAAACACTTTATATTTTCTTTTCTTTCATTCGGCTTTAATTTTAATTCAAAACATTTTAATTAAAAACTCTTAATTATATTTTATTTGATGACCTCTTTCTGATTGATAACTTCTTGGCAAAACTTCCTTGATTAAAATTACTTTTTCAACTCCATTGAATATCTTATACGTTTGAATTAAATTGCTCCGAATCCATCTTACAATTGAAGTAGTGAGGCCCAACTTACCTAATCTTTTCTCATAACATAGCCTTTTTTTGTAGCGATATCAATCTAGTAGCGCGATGCTGAACTTTTTCTAAAATAATAATATCCTTTGTAAGATATGGAGACCACACAGATACAGCAAATTTAACAGTCAAACAAAATTAATTTTATATAATTTTAGATATTTACTGTAATTTAGAAATGTATTCTTTAACATACCCAAACCTTTATTTGCTTTACTTGCACATAGAATTATTTGATTTTTCCATTTTACCTAGAACATCCAGGTCATATTTTAAAAATCCGGAAAATTGTTTGGGTAAAATATCTGGAACATATTTTCCCACAAATTTTTCTTTTAGCTGAGTTGTTTCTAATTTATTTTTAACTTTCCTTTTTTTTCTAAGAGTGATTAGTGAAAAAGCTTAAAAAACAAATCTCTTACAAAAATATATATCTAAACTTGTATGTATGGAAAATGTTTTTGGATATCTGGAAAAACTAAAAGTTGAAAATAATTTCCGGAATTCCAGAAAAATCTGGAAAAAGATAAGTCCTGATTTTAGGCCAGAGCTTAATATCAAACTAAGATCTTTTCCAGTGACAGTGGTACTTTAGGGTATATTTTGCATAAAATAACCCTACAGTTTTTGTTTTATTTTTGTCAAAGTGCATAACTAAACACTTTTCAAAATTAAATTTTACAAACCATTTATTGGCAATTGACCTTATTTTTGTCTAGCTTTTCTTGATTCAATTTTTACGATCTTGCAAACATTTTTGTATTCTTTCACAAGAGATGTAACTTTTCTATCCTGATGAACGTTGCAAAATATAAGGTTCTTTTTCAATTTTATTAGTTTTATAAGTTCTTATTTAATTTAAAAAATTCATTTTACTTTTACCAAATGTTGGCAAGGCCCCTCTTGTCCCTTTAGAATCATAACATTAATTTAGATGTTTCAAGTTACATAACTTTAAAAAGATTTGATCTTTTTACTTTAAAATTTGTCCCTGGTTATTTCAGGTGTGGCAAAACCAATGAAATGATTAGAAAGACAAAAAATTATTATTAAGTACTTGTAATTATCAATTTAAATAAATTTAGGCAATTTTTTACTTTAAAATTTTTACTTTAAATCTTTTTACTTTAAAATTTGTCCCTGGTTATTTCAGGTGTGGCAAAACCAATGAAATGATTAGAAAGACAAAAAATTATTATTAAGTACTTGTAATTATCAATTTAAATAAATTTAGGCAACTTTTTATACACCGGATTTTGATGCTCGAGAAACCCATGTGTCCTTGATGATATCAAAAAAAATAATTATTACACCTCATATTATATTCATCGATCTTTCAAAAAATAAAAAGCTTTTGATCTGCAAATATATGGATTTCCATATATGGATAAAGGGCCACGGTCTCCACTTTTTTGTAGCGGAATATTGCAATTGATTTTTCAATGATCTTTTTTAAAATGTTTTTAGTATGTGCAAATGTCTATAAGATTTTTGATTTGCAAGTATAAGTATATTAAAAACATTTATCCATCTAAATAATGATTTTAACAGAATTTTACATTGTAAAATTTAAAACTTTTTGAATTGAAAAGAAAACAGACAGAACGACATTGATCTGTCAAAGAACAATAATTGAAGAATACAAATTGATATTATCAGAGGCAATAAAAAAATTAACACTCCATCCCTACATTGCAAAATATTAAGCAAGATATCTAAGGCAACAAAAACAAAAGTTGGTAAAAAACTGCACTGTCTTATGTAATTTTGCAGAAAACGACTCATTGCAATACTCAATGCAAATTACACCCTACTGCCCTCTATTTATTTAATGAAAATGACCAGCTTAAAGAAAAAAATATGCTTTATGTCAGAAGATAACAGGTATGACTGGGTTCTGTGTATGAATTTCAGACAAAAATTATGAATTATTTAAAAAAAAAGTTTCCATAAAGATGATTGCCAACATTGCTTGGAGGGGGCATTTGAGCTTGAAAAAGATCTCACTTCTGCTACAGCATGGAACTCACAGTGGGTGGTGAACTTTAATTCAGATAAAACTCAATTTTTTTCATTTTAATAGCAATAATTTAGATCTTCCTATATTTATGAACAGTAATGTACTCGATGAGTCATTTACCCTTCATTTTCTAGAAATAACTCTTACTTCTGATCTTTCTTGGAAACCATATATCAAATACGTTGCATCCCTTAATTGAGCTCGACACTTTCTTACTCTGGATTCTATTCTCTATTTCTTTAAATCTCAAATCCGGCCTTGTATGGAATACTGTTGCCATATCTGGGGCGGACCTTCTAATAATGCCCTTTCTCAATTAGACAAGGAGCAAAAAGGCATTGTAAACATAGTTGGATCTATTCTTGAAGCCAACCTTCAACCATTATCACATCATCGTAATGTTGCTTCTCTTTCTCTTTTCTACAAATACTATAATGGGCACTGCTCGAAAGAGCTAGCGTCTTTTGTGCCATCTACTAAAATTCATTCTCGTGTTACTTGTCATTCAATTAAGTCTCATCCATTTTCTGTTATTGTTCCTAAGTGCTCCAAAAACTCTTATTCGTCTAGTTTTTTTCCTCGAACATCAGTTATTTGGAATTCGCTTCCTTCATCTTGCTTTATTGATTCATATAATTTGCAATCTTTTAAGTTGTCTGTCAATCGTTATCTTGCTCTACAATCTTTATCTTTTCTCTTCCAGTAACTTCCAACTCTAATTTGTGGTTGCTTGCAGCCTTTATGGAAGCCAAGATGTTAAAAAAAAAAAAATTCAAGGAACTAGGAGCTATCATCAGTTTAACCCAGAATCTATAGATACTGTTAGCTTTAAATGAACAAGTGAAGATTTTAATATATCAGGCATGTTTTCTTTTTCTGGTATTCAAAAACTTCAACCTAATCAGTTAATTAAAATCAATACATTGAAATTTAGCGAATTTATTCAGTGTAAATATGATATGTTTTATTGGATTGGTATGATAAATGAAATTGACAATATTGAGCAAGATGTTATGGTAACATTTATGCACCCGAACAGTCCTTTTAACAAACTTTTCTGGCCATCTAGAGCAGATAAGTGTTAGGTTCAACTACAAGCATAACTTGTATCATTGATGCACCTGTAACAACAACTGAACATATGCATACTTTGACCATTGACGCATCTAAGCAAATCTTAACCCCATCTTGAAACTCTATATTTTTGTATTTTACTTTGTAAATAATTAAATAAAACAAAATAATTACAAGCCAAAAAATTATCTGAAGCCAATTTTTTCAAAGTCATCTTTACATTATTGAAAATATTAAAAAAGTAGGGCATGGCCCCAGTACCCCAGGCACTGGGGCCATGAGGGCCGTTCATCAAGACTATACAAATGCTGAAAGTTTCAGAGCTCCAGTTTGTCTGGAAAGTAGTGAAAAATCTATCACAAGATTCCACTACAAAAATGTGGGGCACTTGCTCAAGTCTCCCCAAATGTCTTTAGGTCCTGAAAACATTTTTTACATGCACATTCATTGGCACTACAGAAATGTCAAAATTTTCAGAGCTCCAGCTAGGAGCTAATAGGTAATGAAAAATCAATTGCAATATTCCGCTACAAAAAAGTGGGGACCATGCTTCATTATCCATATATGGAAATCCATATACTTGCAGATCAAAATTTTTATATTTTTTGAAAGATCAATGAATATAGAATAATGTGTAATTTTTTTTTTTTTGATATCATCAAGGCCACATAGGTTTCTTGAGCATTAAAAACAGGTGTATAAAAAATTGCCTAAATTATTTAATTTGATAATTACAGGTACTTAATAATAAATTTTTATCTTTCTGATTATTTCGTTGGTTTTGTTACCCCCAAATATAGCAAGTTACAAATTTTTATGTAAAAAATCAAACATTTAGGTTATTTGACTTGAAACCTTCAAACAAATGTTGTAATTCTGAGGGTACATGAGGGGCCTGGGTAATATCTGCTAAAAGTAAAACAGTCATATTTCAGCATCTTCTTAGAGCCAGGGGCTATAACTTTCAAGGAATTCTTATTTTAATAAGCACCTCAACTGTATAAAAATCAGCAAAATCTGAGATGTATGGTGATATGACCTGGGTCATTTGATATGGAATTACCCTAAATTAAACTAATTACCCTATTAAATTAAGTCCCCATCTCTAATATTTTCTAGAACTGGATGTGATTCAATTTGGAACAATCTTTTTTTATTGTTGGAAATAGTAAGTCAAGAGTATTAAGGCATTCATTGTTGGATTATTGAAACATTGAAAAAGAAACTTATTAAATGAGAAAGCGATTATTCAAAATATCATAAAAACTGTATTCATTAAAGCTATTGCCATTTCTAACTGATGTGAGAAAATAGCTATTTATTCATGAACTGACTATCTAGGTAGAAAATACAAGGAAGTGCCACTACATTGATTAGGGGTTGGGGCAGCAATCTTTTTTTTTTACTATTATTTGTTTTTTTCTTTCTAAAAAAAACCTATGGAAAAAAAGAAGCAAAAAATATTACCAAAATCCTGTCTACATACGTTACAAAAGAAGTAGACATGAAAATAGACAAATGAAGTAGACACAAAAGTAGACACATGAAAGTAAACAAATGAAGTAGATATGTGAAAGTAGACAAATGAAGTAAACACAGGAAAGTAGAAAAAATGAAGTAGAAACATGAAAGTAGACAAATAGATACACAAAATTAGACAAATGAAGTAGACACAGGAAAATTACTCTATTACTATTTTTTGAATGGTTCTGAAAATTAAATGTTATTTCTAATCCCATATGATAAATAATGCATTATAAAGTATATTTTTTATCATAAACTTAATTGAATAATTTAAATCATTTTACTGTGAAAATGGAGCTGGTATGCTCAATTTATCGTTGGTCAAATATTTGTTTTTTATGCAAAATATATATATATATATGTATTTAAGAAAAAAGCAGAAAAACTGTTGTAATTTTCATGTAAAGTAAACTAAACATCAAAATTTATTCATTAAAAACTGAAATTTTTATATTTAAGGTTTTAAATAAACATGCTCATTAAGAGCACATTTTTTGAATTTGTGTAACGTAAGTTTAAACTATAAAATTACAAAAGTTCTGGCGCTTTTCCTTAAAGTTTTTGTTGTTTACAAAATAAATGATTAAGTTTTCATCTCAACTCCCAAGAGGTAAGAAATAATTAAAATATCAAATTTTAAAGGTGTATTTGGTTACACAAAGAAAACCGTTATTTGTAAAAATTGCTTAAAAATTTTAAAATCCTTTATGCTGATAAGTTTTCATAAACTAAATAAAAGTTATTCAAGAAAAGGTTAGCCAAATTTTTTTATTTAAAATTTGTTTATTATTATTAAACAGTAAAAAGTTTTAAAAGGACCTTTAAAATTTATCAGCAAGAGATATAAATAATAAGATATAAATAATATAAGACAAGCTTACACAGCATTATCTAAAATAAATTCTAATCAGAACAAGTCACTCTACAAAGAAACTACTCTCTAATTAAATAGAATGAAAAATTAAGCTTTGACTGAAGCAGAAATAATTGTCACAAAGTGCTACTCAGAAGATGACATTATTTGTCTCTTAATGTTAAGGACTTCTCTCCAGTAGTTAAAAATGGAACAAAAAATTAAGGTCCAAATTTGTCACCTTTTAACTCTGGAAGAAGCACACAAGCTTTTTAAAAATGATCATTCAGATATCAAGATTGGATCAAGCAGGTTTTTAGAACTACAAAACTGTTAAATGTTTGATGTATTGCAAAGTTGCCTCACAATGTATGTGTTTGTACTTACAATGCAATTTGCTTTGGATTCTATAGGATTTTATATATATAAAAGTTGATTGTCAGCTGTTTGGTAATATTAAAAATGAAAAAACATATTTAAAAATTTTGTTTGTAAGATTTGAAAACAAATGCAATAACTGCAAAGATCTGACCTTTTCCAAGCAATTTTTGCCCACCATTAAAATACTGAACTTCCAAACATCTGAGCAATCTATTAAATTATTAATGGCTCAAACCAGGTAAAAAGCGTTATGCAATTAAAAAAGCTTTTAATTGCATAACGCTTTTTACCTGGTTTAATTTAAAATTCTGGAAAATTTGAAACCCAATCAGAATTTTTAATTTAAAATTCTGGAAAATTTGAAACCCAATCAGAAAATGATTTTGTAAATTCTCTTCAAGACATTAATGTCAAAGTTCTATACTTGTAAGAGGAGGAAAAGTCGGTGCATTTTTTTCCTTCATATTCAAACAATAGTTATATATATATATATATATATATATATATATATATATATATATATATATATATATATATATATATATATATATATATTTATAAATATATATATTAATTTCAATTATAATAATTACAAAACTACAAACCTTTTATTTTATTTTTAATGGAGAGTTTTAGGTAATCTTAGCAACATGTAAGGTTATGCCTAGTAGTATGTATTTAGTAGCATTTAGTAGCATTTATAGCTATATGAAAGCCTATTTCAGTATTCTGTGATATTGGAATAAACTAACGCAGGAAATCAGTTAGTGAAAAATCCAGCACAAAATAGAATATAAAAATATTATTTAACCATTTTTTAAAATAAAAATGAAACATTTATAGTACAAAAACAAATCATAACTAACATAGGCCATAAAAAAACTGGCCTCTTAACTTTTTACGTAAAATGCAACAAATCAGGCCGTGTAATTTAAGTAGGCCATGATTAATGATAATAATAACAAAATATTTTTTATATTTGACACTTAGTAATTCTGTTTTCTTTTATCATCAGACTAAAAAAAAGAAAAATCAGTCTATTTTTGTTTTTGAATAACACTCATTTGAAGTATATGTATATGTATATGTATATGTATATATATATATATATATATATATATATATATATATATATATATATATATATATATATATATATATATATATATATATGTATGTATATGTATATATATATATATATATATATATATATATATATACATACATACATACATATATATATATATATATATATATATATATATATATATATATATATATATATATATATATATATATATATATATATATACATACATACATATATATATATATATATATATATATATATATATATATATATATATATATATATATATATATATATATATATATATATATATATATATATATATATATATATAAATATACATTAGCAACATAAACTCCTAAAAATATTGACATACAAGTATTATCTTAAAAGACATACTGATTTTAAATATTTTTTACATTATTTTACATTTTACAATATCTTTCTTTTAAAAAACTTTATCATTTTTTATTAAAATGAAATATATGTAGATAAAATATATGAACTTGTTATGGAAAAGATTTTCAAGTCAATCTGAATTTACGTAGAAGGATAATAGCAAGGTTTAAAATGTGCATTCACAATACACAGATGATTCTTAGACAACACTTATTTATATCAACAAAACACAAATTAAAATTAATTTAAATGTTTTAATTTAAAAACAAATTTTAGAAAATTTACCTTTCTGTTTGATCATTTAGATTTTTAGTGTCATATGATAACACACAAGGTTTTTCTTGATCGCTTTCATATGATACTAACGTGATTTCATCTGTCTACAATCAAAAACATTTGAATAATGTAATCACAGAAAATGTAACCACAGAAAATAGCACATAAATTTTTATTTATTGTAATGAGGGATCAGTGGTGATTGCTTTCTAATCATAGAAAAAAATGTTTTAACTGAACTAACTCTGTGGTAGTAGTAATTACTAACACAGAAAAGTTCCTGATAGTAACAAACTTGTTTCTCTGCTGCCTTCTATACAAAAGTTCCTGTTTTAGTCTCATATAATTAAAGAAGAGTGGTAACAACATTAAAGAAGAGTGGTAACAACATTAAAAAAAATACTTTTGAATTGTCTTAATGGGTTAAAACGTTATTATATAAAGAACTAATTTTTAAGAATTTAAACTTCTTTACTAAAATACACTGTATTTATAAGAACTTTTATCATAATTAAATTGCTTTTTGTCAGTAAAAATAGTAAAAATGAAAAAAATAGTGAAATAAATATATTTTAAACAACAAGTTCACAAATAAAATGCAGAATACTAATAATTTATGAATAAAATTAAATACCAAACAATTTTTTTTAGTCATAATTATTTAAAAATACTTCTTTCCCCTGAAATTGAATGATCATGCAGCATTGCAAAAAAAAAAAAAAATGCCTTTAACAGTTCATATTGAGGCAAGGTAAACTAGTGACAATCAGAAATAATAGACCACTTAGCCTATTATATAGACTAAATTATAAGCTATTTAGTCTATTTTACAGACCAAAGTATAGATCATTTATTCAAAAAAACCCTCTAAAAAGTACTTAAAAAGATATGTACTATAAAAGAAGATATGTACTTATTGAAAAACAATAACTTGAATCCTTGCCTCAACAATAATTCACATCAATACCAGTTTGTGTGTACATAATATTAAAGGTGGCAACTAAAAAAACACTTGTGTTTAAGAACAATATCACTTGTGTTGGAGAATTTTTTTTAAGGTTAAACATGAAGTCCAGCATTATGTTCACCAGAGAAATTTTATTAAAAGAATTTAAATAATAAAAAAGCTATAATATTTTTTTACCCATAGCTTGTTTATGTAAAAAAAAAAACAATAGAGCTTTTTGTAAATATCTTTATATTTTAATGTAACTAAGGATGTTAAAGTCAAAATGTCTGTTATAGAATCACAATGAACAATATCCATTACTTATTGCATTTTTTAGCATAAGGTATTTAAAATTTTCCATAGGAATATTCTAAAAAATTATGTAATCACTCAATAAATTGAATATTATATTTGTTGACTATTAGTTGAAAAAGACAAAGAAAATGCAATAGATAACCATTCTTATACTATATGATGTACGCTTTCTTTTAGCTAAGATATTTTAGGTGAAAATCATGTTGATAATTGTGTAAAGTAAATCAGGTTGATCATTTCAAATACATTAACCAAAATAACACCTCATAAATAAAATTTTGGACAAAATTTAAAAATTTGTATTTTAAGAACTAATAAGTTTTATTATTTAATATTTCAACTGTTAATATGTTAGTATATGTAGTTTATAAATATATTAAAATAATTGTTTCAAATACCATATTTAGCAATATTATAAAGTTTTTTTGAAAGATGTTTTATTTGAGTAAGGAAAATTTCTTTGTTCATCTTTGAATAGCAATATCTAATTCTTGCTTCAAGCTCTTCCAAATTCTCAGCTCTCCAATTACTCTCGTACACTAGCCATTTTAAATCACCCAAAAAGTTTTTTGGGTGATTTAAAATGGCTAATTGGTCTTGCTTCTGGAACGTTAGCTGGGTTTATATCTTTGGGTACAACTTTGATTTTTTTTCAATTTTAAAAAGTCGATGACAGACTTTGCATAATGTGATCGAGCTAGATCAGACCAGAAGATAAACTTATTGTCTTTTTTATAATATTCTGATACTAGAGGAAGTAAAGTTTTTTCTACTATCTCTTTATAAGTGTACTGGTTGATTGCCTGCTTACTGTGATGAATATAAAGAGGGCTTATTCCACGGGGGCTGATGCAACAAAAAACTAAGAGCTTGTCCTCATACTTTTTACGCAAATTGTATCTTATTTTGTCAGAACATTGAGATAGATCAGCAGCATAAAACCTATCATTATCAGCTAATGTACTATTGTTTAAGGTAGAATAGCTTTCATCATTCATAACAAAATCCAAGTTTTTATAATTTTCATAAAATTTACGACATTTAGGACACATAGCTTTCTTCTGCTGATGACTACAATCTGGACGATTTGTTTTTTTGAAAGTTCGAATATTAGTCATTGTTTTTAATACTTATAAATTCGAGTTTGACCACAGTTAAAAACTTGAGCTACTTTCTTTTGGGAGCACCCTGACTTATTTTTGAAAAATGCAGCAATCTTTGGAATATTTTCTTTAGTAGCTACCTTAGTGATTTGACCACTTCCAACTTTTCTTTTTAGAGATTCATTCTCCAATTTTATGATTTTATTGAAAGCAGTTGATCTGGGTAAACCCCATTCCATAAACTGCTTAGCAACAAACCCTTTACCATTTTCTCGATTTTTTTGGAAAAAAATTTCCATAATTTTTTCGAGGTCCTTTACTTTGACCATTTTATTTTCAATATTTAAATAATATTTTTAACTTAAATTAAATTTAATAAGATTATAAAATCCTTTTTGAAATAAGTATAAAGGTTTTTTGCGTGCATGAAATAAATTACATAACAAATGAAAATAAAACTTGTCCTAAATTTTATTTATAGGGTGTTCTTTTGTTAGCTTCTGCATTCTTGTTAATAGGTAAAATATTACAAGTCTGATGTAAAATAAATTTTTTGTATAGATAACAAATTTGTTTATGTGAAATTCATTTACTACAAAGTTTATATTAAATAAGAAGCTGCAGAGGTTTCAGTACATTTATTTAGTACATACATAGTTTAACCCTTTAGTACATACATAGTTTACATACATACATACATACATAACATACATAACCTACAAGTACATACATACATACATAACCCTTTAGTACATACATAGTTTAACACTTAACCTAAGTACAAATGTTGCAAGCTTGGTTTAAAAACACTTTCCAAAATCAAATAAGTTTTATGTAATATTCAACAAAAACATAAAACTAAGCTACAGTTGTTTTCCTACATCAAAAATATTATCACTACCCACAATAAATTTTATCTAGTATTAACAACCAAACTAACTAATCATACAACAAATTTTGCAATATCTTGCAATGGCCTTAAGAAGAAAAAAGCTTCTAAAAGAATATCACTTTTTATTTATAAAAGCTTTTACCACTTTTTATTTATAAATCTATTTTTTTTTTTGTAATAATAACATATTAATATTTGTATATACTTTATATTATATCAGTATAAACTGAAAGTTTAGTTTTACATAGAACCTTATATTTAAAACAAATAATGCAGATTAATTAATAAGTTAGTGTATCAGCAGTAATTGCATATGTAAGAGTTGTACTAGGACAAAAACAGTAACAGATTTTTCACCATTCTGTTAGTTTTCTTAACATATATTTAAACCCTCAGAGTATAAATATATACAGCTATCGGAATTAGTGTCAGCATTCAATAATGCTGACCTAACTGCAAACCTAATTGCCTACCTGATTTTGTCTAAGGTCTACAATTTTTTGCCAACCCACAATTTCAAAACTTAATTTTATTTTCTGTTTCAAATATAATATAAATAAAATAATAAAATTAAAAACAAAAACAAAAAAAAAATAATATTTTATTCAAATCCTAAATAAAAAAACTAAAATAAAAAAGGAAAAACAAACGCTTTATTAATTCTAAATGAAATAATAAAAATAAAATCAACGAAATTAATTTTTAAAGTAATGACGTTTAATTAAAAAGTCTGTGAATTTTTTTATTTTTCTCTCAACTTAATGCTATATGTTTGTATGTTTGAAAATTTGTTGAACCTTTTTCTATATTTTTTTCTAATCTAAAACGGTTTTAGGTCTACAATTTTTTGCTAACCTTATTTTTCTTGATTCTGAGGGCTGTATACATGTGCATATGTGTGTAGTAAGTGACTGGGGTTGAAATTCAACTGGGGTCAGGTTTGATAAAAAATAGCTGGGGATAGATTTGTGACTGGAGCTACATAAACATTTATACATCATAAATATATTTTTTTAATTCTAAATTCATGCTATATTATATATATATATATATATATATATATATATATATATATATATATATATATATATATATATATATATATATATATATATAAACATGATCATTATCATCATCATCATCATCAAGCTTTAGCCCTCCCCTTTTATGCTGTTTCTCTTATATAAAAAATCGAGAGCATTTTCATTCCTTAACTAAAGCTCGTTCATACCATATGTAATGCACTCTTTCCAAGATTTCTTACTTATACCTGTACCATTTTCTACTGATGCTGCTACGTCTCTACATGCAGATACCCAAACCACTTTAATCTTTTCTGAAAAACCTTGTTTGATACAACAATTGATAGATATTTTCTTATCTCTGTCTAAGATTAATGCTTCTTTTCTTGAGTTGTTAGAGTCATACCATCATCATCTTCTCTTTTAGCAAATACACACCATATAAACTTTGATTTACTCCCATCAAGGCTGCAAGCAACCACTATTAAGTTGGGAGTAACTAGAAACATTTTTCACCTTCTTGTGCAGTTGCTATATTAAACTATAATAATTTTTTTCATCTTTTTTACAAGAATATCTTGTAGATTTTTGAGAAATGTCTTTTTAATATTGCAAGAAGTCAATGTAAAAAGGTCCTGTCTGATGCTAAGCTACATTATTCTCAGTTTACTAAATCTTATCTCAGATTTTAGTATTTTATGTCAGAAGTTAAGTTCTGAGATATTTGGAAAATTTCCACCATAGTCTTACAAAAGTGTTACAGAACTTCTTTCAATCCTTGCTAAATAATTATCAAGTGTTCAATAAGTGTTCAAGAAGTGGTTCCAATATTTAAAATCTCCTAAAAACACTCTAAACTCTTTAACTATCCTGCAATTAGTCTTCTCTCTAGTATTAGTTTCTTTATATAAAAATTTTCAAATTATTAAATCATTCTATTTTAACATCAGTATTAAAGTCTTGAAAGCCTACATTTTTCTTTATTTTCAGTAAGTTTAGGAGTACTGCAAAATTTTATCTTTGCTTCTGATCTAAATAAAAATTACTTTTCTGTAACAGCTTAGGGGGGGGGGGGGGGGGCATGAAGTGGTTTGTGGATTTTAACTCAGAGTTATTTTATTATTATTAGAGTTATTTACAGCAAACAACTATTGCAATATTGTTGAAACTCCTATATTGACAAATAACAAACCTCCTACTCTCAGAGCACATTGTAAATGTAGCTGGACCTGCTTTATCTGCCATGCTTGACCCACTTTCCCAATATTATAAAGTTGCATCTTTTTCTTTTTTCTACAATTACTATGATGGTTGCTGCTCAAACGAACTACCATCTCTAATTGGATCAACCAATACTAATTCTCACTTAGCTAGTTGTTCAGCAAAGCAGCATGCTTTTACTGTATCTGTCCCTCTATGCTATAAAAATTTATTTCATCTAGTTTTTTTTCTGGCATATCAAAAAAACCTCATAACTCTCACCAATCTTCATGTTTTCCTGATCATAAATCCTACAACTATTTTTGTATTTAGTTAACCTTTTCCTTTCTTTTTAACCCTATCCTGTGTTTTTTAGTAACTCATACCTATTATGTGTACAACCTTGTCAGAAGTGAGTTTGTTTAAAAACTATATATAAGCAAGTATTTAATAAATTAACCCCTGCTAAAATCTTATAATTTAATTTAAATTTTTTTAAAGCTGGGTTTGTAAAAAGTTTTTATCTGGGGCCGGGTCACTTACTATATGTGTATGTGTGTGTTTGTTTGTGACTGTGTGTGTGTGTGCAAAAGCCGGGGCTGGGACTCAGGTCACTTACTATATGTGTTTGTGTCTGTGTGTGTGTGTGAAAAAGAGAGTGTGTATGTGCATGTGCGTGTGTGTACACACACATTGAGATAATAGGAGAAAATGTTTTTCTACCTCATCATATGTTGCCTCAGGTATCATTTCTTTTTGTATATTAGCTTTCATTTTACTTGCTATGACCTAAATTAACAAAAAATTATCTTATATACAAATATACCATTAACTAATCAATACACCAACTTGCATATATTCAGTAGTATAACTTTGTTAAGATTTTCCTTATAGAAATTTATACCTTAAAATAACACCCTGTTTTATTTGACTTTTTAACAAAAAATTTTTTACAAAAAAACTAAAATGTGTGAAATTAAATTCTTACATTTAATATTTTATTCAAATTAAATTCTTACATTTTCTATTTTATTCAAATTAAATTCTTACATTTTGTATTTTATTGAAATTAAATTCTTACATTTAATATTTTATTCAAATTAAATTCTTACATTTTGTATTTTACTGAAATTAAATTCTTACATTTAATATTTTATTGAAATTAAATTCTTACATTTTCTATTTTATTCAAATTAAATTCTTACATTTTGTATTTTATTGAAATTAAATTCTTACATTTAATATTTTATTCAAATTAAATTCTTACATTTTGTATTTTACTGAAATTAAATTCTTACATTTTGTATTTTATTCAAATTAAATTCTTACATTTTGTATTTTATTGAAATTAAATTCTTACATTTTGTATTTTATTGAAATTAAATTCTAACATTTTGTATTTTACTGAAATTAAATTCTTACATTTAATATTTTATTCAAACTAAATTCTTACATTTTGTATTTTACTGAAATAAAATTCTTACATTTTGTATTTTCTGATAACGAGTTAAAGAGCTTTCAAACTCATTTTTAAGTTTGTTCTGATTGATTGATAAATTCTAAAAGTAAAAAAAACAACAATAAAACATAAAAAAATACTTTCATTAATGACTCTATTAAAAAAGCTCTGATAAAGCACTTACAACCTGATGAACTGGCTGATTTCGTTGAAAATTATTTTGATGAACTGGCTGATTTCGTTGAAAATTATTTTGATGAACTGGCTGATTTCGTTGAAAAAGCTCTGATATTTCTTTAAATAAATCCCTTATATCATTTGCAAGTTGATTTGTTTCTTTTGATATGACATGTCTAAAAAATGTTAAAAAATAAATTGAAAAAAAAATCAGATTTATATATATAAAAAAATATGTGAGATAAAAAAATAATCCAAAAGCAAATAAGTAAAAGTGTTTTGTAGTCAAAAACCTCTCGCCCATAATGTTGTCATAATAAACAGTGTTTTGTAATCAAAATTGTAAAATGAAACAATTCTGGTCAAAAGATTGTCATAATAAACAACCGTAATTAGAAACATTGCACTGTTATCATATTTATTGTTTTTAAAAACGTTAAAAATTCTTTTTTCTAGCACCCTCCTCTAAAAGTTTCTGAATACACTTAAATACTATTTATGATAAATAATGGAGTATATTGAAAATTTAAAAATTTTTAATATACGTTATTATCATAAATACTTGGTATTTAATTTTTTACATATAAATATCTGAAACATACAATCTAACTTCAACTCATGTGCTCATGTAATACTAAGCTAATTATCTTTAATTCTCTAAAACAGACTTTATAACAGAGAAAACCTCTTGAACTTTTCTATCATCATGGAGTATCTCACATTTTTTGCTCAACAGCTTCATCATTAGATTCTTCTATTTTCTTTGAGATGGATTCAAGAGACGACACTTTAGAAAGTAAAATATATTATCAATTTTTAATATTAAATTAGGTTTTTAACTAAGAGTTATTTAATTATCAACACTGTTACTTTTTTAAAAAAAAACAAACAGTTATAACAAACATTTATTTCTGTGTTTACAAGATCTACAAAATCAATTGAATTCAATAAAATGCAATTCTAAAAAGTTACATAAATTTTAAAGGACTTACAATTTTTATTAATTTGAAATATTTTGCTGGAGATGTTATCTTCTAGTTTATCAAACTTTTCTAAAAAACAAAATTTATTAAAAACACACACATAGATAATTATTTATAGGATAATTGGAATATTATCTCAAATGAGGCTGATTTACACCAGCCTCATTTAAGATAATATTAATCTAACTAGTTAGATTTATATAAACTATATATTAATTTATATTTATGTTCAATTTATATATGATTATAAATTTACACTAATTTATACTTATATGTATTAAAAACTTACAAAAGAAATAAAGTTGATCAGAAAAGAGTAATAACAAATATCTACATTAAAGTTTATTAATATTAAGTCTTTCACTTTGATTTAGCATTTGTCTATTCTACATTCAGGTAATCAAAGTTAATGTCAAATGATACTATACTGCTGTACTGAACTTCCTGTAATAGAGGGATGTGGCAACTGAAAAACCATATCTGATTTGTCCAATTCATACAGTTTAATCTTCTCTTTGATTATTTGAGAAAATTATCAAAGAAAAGATAACAATTTGAAAAAAATAATTACAAAAAAAAATACACACATTATACGAAAGAAATTAATAAACAAAAAAATCATAATAAACTATAACAACATTAAAAAATTTAAAAAATTTTATTAAAAAATTATTACATTAAAAAAATATTTTTATAACAAATATTATTCATAATAATCAGGGTTGGTCGGGAAGCGGGAGCGATCGCTCTTGATTACTAACCCCGGAAATAATATTTCGCTGCAAAAACTGGCCAGATTTTTAGTCATTTTGAGAACATTTAAGTTTACGTATGTCCGTAAAACAAAAAAATTTTGTTTTACGGACATACATAGAAACATACGTAAACTTCTTGTTCTCAAAACATCTTGGTGCGGAAGAATAAAAAGAATATTTGCGAACAATAAAAACCCGCCAAATCTACAAATATACTAATTCTATTAGTTCAAAAAATACGCTGACTAAGCTGCCTTACGTTTGCTTGGGTTTTCCAAAAATGTTCCATACTTTCCTATTCTTTCCAATGATAAAAATATTTATGTTATTTTTGATCCTCTGCATTTAATGAAAAGTATCAGAAACAATTTACAAAGACATAACATTGACAATAATGGTGAAATTGTTTTTTGGCAACACATACAGTCTCTTTACAATTTAGAAAAATTAAATCCTGTGCGCCTAGCGCTAAAACTAACAGATAGACACTTAGACCCTGGTCCTCTTTTATCTATGAAGGTCAAACTTGCCACTCAAGTTTTTAGTTATCAGGTTGCTTCTGCATTATATTGCTGCTCTAATACAAATTTACTTCAATGAAGTGTATTACCAACAGCAAGATTTGTTGAAAGCATGGATACTTTATTCAATATATTGAATTCATATAAATTATTTGCAGATAAACCAGCTTGTTATGCTATAACATGAAAAGGAACCAGTATTTCTCATTTGGAAGAGTTAAAGCAGTGGATCGAGAAATGGAAATTTTGTAATGTCAGAAGTCAAGCAAATATATCATGTCATTAGAGTTTAAGCGCCACAATTAATAGTGTTCTAACCTTAAGAAGAGAGCTATTTTCTGAAGGTTTTCAGTTTGTTTATACTTCTTGTTTTAATCAGGACTGAATTGAGAATTTTTTTTCCAGTATTCCAAGAAAAGGTGGTTGAAATGACCATCCAAATGTTAGACATTTTTAAGCTGCCTATAGAAATGCTTTATTACTTTTATCTGTAGAAAAAAGCAAATCCAATAGCGGCTGTATAAAGGATTCAAATTTTGAGACAGCGCTCAGTCTAAATGATTTTATGAAATGTTATAATCAAACAACCACTAATTGTGGAATTTTACAAAACAGAAAATAACAGAACTAAAGGAATATATATATTTTTTATCCAGGATCATTTTATATGTTTACTGGAAAATTTTTAATGCTATAAAAGGATTAAGCCCTTTTACACATGGCTGGATGGCTAATTCAAAAGGTTAAATTATGTCATAGGTGTGTAGATGTACTCTTTCTTAGTTCCGCTGACAATCCATCAGCTTTTATGTCACTAGTTAGTGAAATGGAAACAACTTTTATGAAATTTATTGATAAATATCTTGAAAGAGATGGACTGGCCATGATTCTCATCAATAACATGTCATTTTCAGTTTTTGCACAATCAACATGAAGAACATGCGCTTTATTTGGAAAAAAACATTGTTCTGTTTTTTGTTATTATAAGAATTTTTTATTTCATAAAATTTTTAAACAGAGACAAAAAACCACGCAATGCAAAAAAAGTCAAATGCAAAAAAAATTGCATGTATTCTTCATAATTAATATATTATGATAATGTTTACTCATTTTTTTTTCTTTTGTAATAAGGTGTGCTAATAACTTTAAAAAAAATTGTTATGTTTTTTGTTATAACAGGAATTTTTTTTAATTTCATAAAATTTTTAAACAGGAAAAAAAATTGCAATTTGACTTATTGTCAAATTGCAAATAGAGACATGCAAGAGTATATATATATATATATATATATATATATATATATATATATATATATATATATATATATATATATATATATATATATATATATATATATATATATATTTATATATATATATATTTATTTTTGTTCTGTCATGACCTCAGGCGCAGTGCTTGTTCATCTGCAAGTGACTTTGTATGCATGTATGTGTTTAGTAACCAGAAGTTTCTTGTATGTTTATTTCGTAATTATTTTTAATAAATTTGATGATTATTATTAATTTCATTGAAAACGCAATTGTTGAAAGTCTTTTTGTTTACAAAATACATCGTAAAAGTTGCTTTAAAAGATTACATAAGAATAAAATACAGATACGCAAAATTACATTTACATAAAAATACAGATTTTTAAATAAAAAAAAAGAATATACTTATAAAATTTATAATATGTAATAAACTTTCAAAGTTTTGACAATTTAAAAAAAATATATTTAAAATATTTATTTTTGTAAACAAATAATAGTTTGAAAGATTTAAGCCAGTGTTAAAATTTGTTTGATTAAATATTCTTAAAACAATTTATGCTAGAAATCTCAAAATTTAACAATTCTCAAATAATACAATTTCTAAAACATTTCAACAGAATCAAAGCCTATCCACTTTGCGAAACTCATGTTAATAGATCGAAATTGCATTCTGGGATATCCTGTCGTACCTCTTCCGCAAATAACACGAATAGTTGTTGTTTTTTTTAATTATAAAACTTTGTTGCTAAGTATCTCAATTTTGTATTTAAGATATCAATTTTGTAACATTAAGATACATCAATTTTTTTAAGATTACCATTAAAATGTTTTATTAAGAATCAAAAATATTATACATTATAACATAAAAAAGTTTCATTGCAAAGAATTAAATTGAAAAAATAATATCATAGTATATCAAAGAGCAATACGTACAATATTTTTGAAATTGCAATTAGACTTATTGGGTGGGTATAAACCCACCCAATAAGTCTAATTGTCAATAAGTTTTCTAGCATAAATTGTTTTAAGAATATTTAATCAAACAAATTTTAACACTGGCTTAAATCTTTCAAACTATTATTTGTTTACAAAAATAAATATTTTAAATATATTTTTTTTAAATTGTCAAAACTTTGAAAGTTTATTACATATTATAAATTTTATAAGTATATTCTTTTTTTTTATTTAAAAATCTGTATTTTTATGTAAATGTAATTTTGCGTATCTGTATTTTATTCTTATGTAATCTTTTAAAGCAACTTTTACGATGTATTTTGTAAACAAAAAGACTTTCAACAATTGCGTTTTCAATGAAATTAATAATAATCATCAAATTTATTAAAAATAATTACGAAATAAACATACAAGAAACTTCTGGTTACTAAACACATACATGCATACAAAGTCACTTGCAGATGAACAAGCACTGCGCCTGAGGTCATGACAGAACAAAAATAAATATATATATATATAAATATATATATATATATATATATATATATATATATATATATATATATATATATATATATATATATATATATATACTCTTGCATGTCTCTTGCATGGCATCAAAAAAAGTTTCCCATAAACTGTAGTTTTAAAGAGCGCGTTAATAAACCAGACCAGAAAAAGTTTTAAAAATTAAATTTTTTTTTTTAATTGATAGACTGCCTGGCCAAACCAAACCCTCAGTCGATGTAGCAGCACTCTCTTGCGAGTCAGGCTATTTGTCAGTCGTTGTAGCAGCACTCCCTTGCGAGTCAGGCTATTTGTCAGTCGATGAAGCAGCATTCCCTTGCGAGTCAGGCTATTTGTCAGTCGATGTAGCAGCACTCCGTTGCGAGTCAGGCTATTTGTCAGTCGATGTAGCAGCACTCCGTTGCGAGTCAGGCTATTTGTCAGTCGATGTAGCAGCACTCCGTTGCGAGTCAGGCTATAAGATAGTCGATGTAGCAACATTTACGCATGTTTAAAAAATGTTTTTTATTAAATCAATAACAAAAACACCACTAATTAAAAAAAAACTTTTTAGTCGTTATAATTGCGGTTTTTTAAAAATTTTTTAAAAAACAATTAAATTTAATGTACTTCCGCATAAATTAATTGCTTTGACATTTCGATGACAATCAAAAACAGCTTAAGAGACGAGGTAATTAAAATTGTAGTTGAAGGAGACTTTTTTTACATTAAACGACTCTTTCGACTACACTATAAGGATATATATATATATATATATATATATATATATATATATATATATATATATATATATATATATATATATATATACATATATATATATATATATACATTTTCCTATCCACCCTAAGCTCATTACACCCCACTCCCATTTATTAATTTTTACTTGTTAGCAATAAAAAAAATATTTCTCAAAACTAAAAAAACTTTAAGTGAAAATCGACCTTAAAAATTAAATAACATACTAGGAACTGATAAATATTGAAACTTTCAGTGTAACTTCAGACCCCTTTTTTACTTATATACTTTTTTCTGTTTTAAAT